GCCTCAATGGTCTGACTGTCGGCTAACAACAACTCCAGGGGCATGGATCTAGGTGGAGCCTTAGCAGCCTTTCGGAGGACTTCGTTTGCACCAGTATCCAAAAGAACATTAGACCCGTCACCCAGATTACCAACAGCACACACCTTTTGCGCTTGTGACCTATGTTCGAACTCAAGGATTCTTGCTCGCAGATGGAGGAGCCGTCGTCTGGCTGGCTCGGGGACTGTGGCGAACTCTTCTACATGGAGATACATCAAGTCATGCAGAATCTCTACTCCATACGTGTCAAAGATGATCCAACCCTCAGAGAAATCCACAAGGCTTAGCAGTTGCTGCAAGGGCATGCGCAACACATGTGTGATGTCGGCGGCAGCTGCTTCAACCAATGTGTCATGATGGCCGTGCGCTGTATGCTCAAACTGAGGGGCTCCAGCAGATGGAGCTGATGCTACGCTAGGTCCTGTGGTCCTGACGCGTGGAGGCTGAGGGGCCTCAACGATAGCCAAGAAAAGCTCATTATGATCATCTTCATCAACGAGCCAGGCCACAAAACCCTTTCTGGCAACATCATCATCACACATCAGCAAAACATCATAAGCAACTGCGATACTCTGCGCTTCCCCAATGAGCAGATCTCGAACCGGCATTCGTTCCGCTCGCTCCAAAGCCCACGCAACTCCTACTGCAACATCCCTACCCTCCGTGACTTGCACAAAAGGCCTAGAGCTCATGATGACTTCACCGCGCTCCCAATGCTGAGCCCATGTGTTGAACTCCCTCGGATTCAAGTGCAAACGCCAAAGCTGATCCCGCTCTTCTCGGTACAATCTTGCGTCCCGCATAGCATCCGCAAGCTCGTCAACTAGATCATGCTCACTTGACAAAAGACTCTGAGTGCTATCAGTCGAAGCAACCGTCCCGGCATTTGACAGTGCCTCCAAGTCTAAGCTATCCTCATCGCTAGAAGAGAACTGAAGTCACTCACCGGATTGCTTTGTGCCATCATGATCATGGAAGTCACTGCTGATGCTTTGGCCTTGGCCTTTGGTTTAGCCTTGGGTTTACCCTTTTGTCCTTCATCATCATTTGCTCCAACCAATGCTGTGGCATTAGGTGCTGCTGCAGCCTTGGGCTTAGGCTTATGTTTCTCGTCATGGGAGAAAGGACAGTTCTTCCGATAGCATCCGGCTTCACCCCAAAACCACTTGCAAGGCTTGTCCTTCCTCGCATCGATGTTTGGCTCCTTGGGTTGCGATTCTCCTGCTCCTTTGCCCTGATTTGCGCTGCTCTTTCCTTTCTCCTTTCCCTTGCCTCCTTTGTCCTTGCCTTTGCCTCCTTTGTCCTTTCCTTTGCCCTTGGATATCACCGAAGACTGTTGCTCATTCTTGTTTGCCTTCAGCTGTTCGTCGGCTGCAAGCTGACGCAATTCCTTATCCAAAGTTTCGAGGATCATCTGAACTCCTAGTTCCGTGGGACGCTGGATGTCCGGAGACAGCTTGATGAGACTCATCCTGGTACGTAGTGAATCGCTTCGCTTCTCAATGTGCTTTACTAGCGTACATAGAGCTCTCATCGCTTCAGACGGGGCTGTGTTGGGAAGATTCAGAGCTGCTGCGCGCAATCTGGCTAGCTTCCACCTACGGATACTCTCTAAAGCATCTCTAGCTGATTGTGCTGGGTCAAGGTTGCGCATGTATCGCAACAAACTTGCAACTTCTTCTTGGCCTCCAGGTTGAACTTGATGTACCAACTCCTCTAACAATGACAGCGATGTAATCTTGTTCTCTGCGTCTTCAACTGCACTGTCTTTGACCTCTGCTGGAAGAATCCGCATCAAGCTAACCACCAATCGAGCCTCATATGTCTCAAAGCATGCTTCAAGCTTTGGGGCCTCAGCAATAGGAGCTCCTGACATCCGGCTCTCATGTCTCTGGTGTGCCAAGTGAAATCGATCCTCAACGAAGGTTGCAAACTCCGGTGCAACCGTCGTGCAAACCGCCAAGATTTGTCGTTTCCATGTTGTGAAACCCAATCCCAGCTCCCAGGGTTCCCCTGGTTCTTGATGATACTTTGGAAGATCCGTCAAACATTTCCACTTTCCGTTCGGAATCTCGGGTGCCGACTTCCGATTTCCAGGCCTTGCGCCAGGACTCGGTGACCTTCCTGGGGATGTTCTCCTCCTGGATCCGAGACCAGGTGGAGGAGCAGTGAGACCCCACGGATTGAGAGGATCAACCTCTGTTCTTCCACGTTCCCACGTGCTCCAAAGCTCTGGCTCGTCTCCGGTCTGATCCCACCAAGTGGAAGAGGCATCTTGAACCCCAAAGCTAGGTGCTTGATCAGCGTTGGGCGTCAGCTCAAAATGCACCGGCTCGCGATTGTTCTGTGCAGGCATCGGATGCAATTGAGATGACTGTGTATCCCGATGAAAGTCCTTCGAAGTTGTACCCTCTAGCTGAACTTCCTCCAACTTGTCAGGGCCTTCCTCGATAGCGCTCACTCTCTCATCGAGCCTGTCTATTTCGGTCTGGACCTTGGGTAACACATCAGCTCGAAATTGCTCCAAACTGTTGTGTAGGCCCTCACCTTGTTCACGCTGCTGCGTAGTCAACACAGCAAGCTCCCGATCGACCTTTTCAGCCAAGACTTGCACCGCTCGTGCCAGTGAAGCTTGATCCCCGGGTTCACCCTTCAAGGGTGCATAAATCTCACGCTCTTGGGCATCCAATCTGCGCTTATGCTCTTGCATGCTCATCAGAGTGTATTTCACAGACTCATCCAGCTCAGCAACTCTACCAGATAGGGCTTCTACCTTCGCCAGTAAGCTCGCCTCTCTCTGCAAGGATTCGTCTAGCTTGTTCTTGACCTGCTGCTCCTCTGCACCTCGTTCTTCTAGGTAGCTCCTAAGGTCATGTTTGATCGCCTCAATCTGTGTGCGCGCATCACGACGATCACTCTCCCGGCCTTCCACCAGGGATTGCACTGCAGCTTGTTGTCTAACCACCGCGTCCCGAAGCTGATCCAGGCTAGCAGTTAGCACTTGACAGCCTGCTTGCAACTCTCCAACTGATCCCCCAATAGCTCCCACTGCCCCTGCGAGAACTTCAGTACGGTACTGGATGCGAGAAGAAAGCTCTGTGACCGCAGCCTGGATGTCAGCCGCAAAACTCAAATCCTCACCAATACTCGTTCCAAAGGCTCGCAGCGTTTCAGCAGGTATGCTAATGCGAGTCATCTGTTGAAGCGTCACCTGCCCTCCAAGCTGCTGCTGTTCTGCCGCTGCTTGCAAAGTGACTGGTGCAGATGCTGTTGTTGATGATGCAGTGTCATGCGTAGTTTCGAGGGGGTTTGGACTCATAACCTGTTGATTTCTGGTGTTTGGTTCAGGGGAAGGGCTGTTCGTAACAATAGAATAGTGACTAGGAGTAGGACTTGCATGATGCCTTCTAATCTGCATAGGTAAGTCATCTAGATGATCATACTTCTCCATAGTACATCGAGTAGCATGCAAGATAGCAAGGCACTACAAGGACCCTCAAACAAGCAACCCAAACCCCAACGCCCCAAGGTGCTTTTCGCACCCACCTCGCTGCGCCCTTCATAGGGCTCGTGCTTGAGCCATTCGGATTTGTGCGTGTCATCCTTAGCAGGGGTCATGCACCTGCCAGACAAGATGTGGTACACTTCTCGATTTGTGCACCTGCGGTACACTTCTCGATTTGTGCACCTGCCAAAAGTAGGGATTGGGCCCTACAGCAACAGGCTCAACCTCGGCCCCCCATCAACCTGGGCTCCCCAGCGGTTTGAGACCACACGTCCATGCCATTTTGTGGCCCCTCGTGCACTTGCCATGCCTCAGCCCACAACCAGCGCTCGGGAGGGGGCGAAGCCCAGCCTGCCCACTGCCGGGGCAGACTCACCGATCCGAAACGATTCCGGGTGCTTGGGCTGTTTTGAAGCAAGCGCGGGTCAGTGGCTGCTCGGGCGAATGAAGTTTTTCCAGACCTGGGGCTGCCGGAGACCTGAGCCAGTCCACAGCCTGCCGAGACGGGGCGACACCCCTGCACGCCGGAGATAAGAAGCGAGAAGCTCTCGAGGACAGAACCAGGACCAAGCCAGGGCACAGACTGGGAAGTACAACGCGCAGCCGGATGAGGGCAGACAGCTGTCCTAGAAACCTGGGAGTGCAAGGGAACACACGGAATCTTCAAGTATGAAGGACATACCGGGGCCGGGGGCATGTCGAGAACAAGGCGAAATGGACCTCATGATCTGAGCTGGACGCTTTTGTGTGATGCAGGCTTATCAGTGTTGCTTTTGGTTGAAGCAAAATGTCTGGCAGAGGTCAGGCATCCTCACTTCCATCAGTTCCACTCCTAATAGGGGGTGTTTGCACTTGGGCGGGTGGGAGGGGGCAAAATGCAAAATGCACCCACACGCACATCCGGAATGTCTGCTTCTCGAACAATCAGCTGTATGCATTGCATACAGCTGATTGTTCGAGAAGCAGACATTCCGGATGTGCGTGTGGGTGACGTCCTGTAGCCTGATGCCAGGTGTGTATTTCCATGTGTGTCCATGTTGTCCTTGTGGCAATTTCTCATCTGCTGACTCGCCTTCACGGTGTTCGCAAGCTTGCCTGGTGTCATAGTGTGGGACATGTGATGGCAGGCATAAGGTTTCGTTCGCAACACTCCTGAGCAGATTTCATGTGGCGATTTCGAGGTCTCGCCCACCCCGACCCGTCGTCGACGAGAAACATGAAGTGTGAAACGTTTCTATGTTCATGCGTGTATCATGTACAGATATTAACCTGGAGATGTCTCTCTGTCTGTGTGTGGTCGAGTGAAGGTGTCTTGCCGCTTGCCCCAACGTGTTTGCGTGTGTCGGCATCTGCATGTATGTATGTAGGTATGACGGTGTGTATGTTTTCATACATACATATATGACATACTTATGCATGTGCGGTACAACAACAGGAGCATCGCATGCCCTGCAAGGCAGCTCAGCTCAACAAGGGGGTAGGCTGGAATTTGTGACGACAGGCAATCCGAGTCCTATTGCGTGTGTGGCGCCTGTAGGCTTTTGGGCGTGGTCTGCTTTGTTGGCCGACGGCTTACCCTTTCGGCGTCGTTCCTGCGATTGATAGAGCTCTTGCTGAGGAAGCTGCTTTGCTCGGAGTCCTGTGTTCTTCCTGGGTGCTGGACTCAGAAAAGCGTTGCTGACTTCTCCAGCATCTTCGAAGAGAGCCATCCGAGAAATGAAGATGTCAAGAGGCTAAGGGTCAGTGGTGGACGATGCCGTGCATTACGATACGACTTGCCGCGATTCAGACACATGCAAACTCGCACACCTACTCACCCCGTGAAGTTGTCCTTCTCAGAAGTGTATGGCATGCCGAGAAGGACAGCAAAAAGAAGCAGATTGGGAAGTGGTAAATATGACAGGAGCATGTTTGCAAGCATGTAGGCAGGTCTCAAGATGTGAGCCTTCCTGTCCCTAAAAACGAAAACATCAGGGGAAATCTGTCAACGTGCAAAGCTCGGGTTTGTCACCGACTTCGCTCGAGGAAAGCATGTATCCGGCAGCTGCAGCTGCCCCTTTGCAGACAGGGAGAAGACCTGCTGTGCTTGCTGCTTCGAGCAGACCCTGCATGATCCAGTCCTTGAACTTGTGTCCTAGGTAATCCGTTTTCCGGCAAGCCCGTGCGTGACAGAAAAGAGTTGCAGGGGAGCCTCGGACCATGTCCCGTCGGAACATCGAAACTTCGTTTCCATGCTAGCACTCATGCGAAATTGGTCGAGTCAGGAGCAGCGGCTCAGGAAGGAGTCGGGCGAAGGAAGGATGGGCCGAGTCTAGAATATTGGACCGTGGGTTTGAGAGAAGGCCGCGCGATCTCAAAGCTAGCCGCGGTGTTCCGTTCGGATGACATGTAAACATGAGTTCCGGCGAGAGCCGCCATTTCCTGTCAGGCTTCGCATGCTCCCAATGGAACGCTTTTTCCAGCATGTCTTCCTCCCTTTTCCCTCGGAGCAGCTTTGTTTCGATGGCTTGGGGTTGTACAAGGATCCATCGGCACTGCCCAGCAGTCTTAATTACTTCCGAAGGGCATAGTCGGCCTCAAGCCGTGCTGTCCAGCTCCTGCAGGCGACAGACACTGCGGTTTCCCGTGCATAGTAGTCCCACATTGTAGCACGATCGGTGGTGTGATGTGGTGTGCTGTGGCGCGTTCCACATCGTGTGTTCAGCTCATCCAGACGTTTGTTGGCACCAATATTCTCCCGAACGAATGAAGCCTAAAGCGATTCTGAGCATCTGAACGGACCTGATAAGGCGGATCCAGCCAGTTGGATAAGAGGGAAAGCTGCCACGGAGCGACCAAGCACATGTCTCTCAAACTGACAGGGCCGAACAACCAACAGACGTGGTCCGAAAGAGCCTGAGGAAAGAACACACGACCAAGAGACAGACAAGCGAGTGTGCGGGGACTCGAACCGTCTTCTCCCGACAGTGGTTAATTGCAGGGCGGCAAATCCCGCTGCGCCTTTGCTTTCAAACCGGGTGTGAAGGTTTGCGATCCGTGGAAGCAATACTCAGCATTTTGCATCGAAGGCTCGACATCTCGGCTACACTGGGCCAGGGGTTGCCTTCTCGGGCCGCGCCCTTCTTGGCGAGCCAGGTTTAGTTCAGAAGAAGTTGGCCTTCGAGGCCTTGCCACTGCCGCCCTGGCTGCTGCTCCGGCGTGCGTAGCTGCCTCAGACAATGAGCCAAGGCTCGTGTTTTTATCCTTTCAGTCGCCGGGAGCAATCGAGAGAGCCTCGCATAGTCTCAGGTCGTCTTGGCCGCAAGTTTCATGGGCTGGTCGAGATCGGAGTCTGCCTTGGTCGAGCTCACTAGGCCACGCCACTTCCGCCGCGGCTCCGTGGGCAGAGTGGCGCGTGCAGAAAGTTCTTGCAGGGCGCGGCCAGAGCAGCCATGGGAAAGACTTGGCCGGTACGACTTGCAGAAGCTTGAGGCAGGTTTTATGCAATTCCGTTACACGATCCTTTGGATAGGGCTCACGTCTTGAAAGCATACAGTTATTGTGCTCTCTACAGGGGCTTTACCTCGACGGCATCACGAAGTATTACTCGGAGTTCTACGACAGGCGGGCACAAGAGTCAGGCACGTCTCTGCATCGAAGATCCCAATACCGGTCAGACCTTCGAGCACCGGCGCCGCATCCTGGAAGCATCAGCCCGCTATGCATTTCGAGGGAAGGGGTAGACATGCAAGGTCAAGAAGTTAAATGACTGCGAGTACTATCGAATCAAGGCCTGCTACATGACGTCTACAAGTCGGTACAGCCAACCTGTCAACCAACCCACTTCTCGACGCTTCTCTAGCAGGTGCGCTTGAAAAAAGCAGGCCAGGGTCTGCATAGATTCTTCGATAGTCTTCCTGTCTGCAAAGCCTGCCGTCCCCACAGCCGGTGCTTGCACCACAGGCTCCAAGGTTCTGCGGTACTGCCGTGCCGATATTCAAAAGCTCGTCTGCCAGGCACAGGCACTCGACCTTATTCTGCAGTTACTCTGGGCCCTGCAGCGCAAAACTCCTTGCGCTGTCATGCATAGCTTTGGAGGAGACACAAGAATCTGTCGTGCCGGTGAATGACGTGGAGGAGAAGCTGCCAGCCACAAGAGCTGCAGCGGACGGGCAGGCCACGGGGGCGATAACGAGTACATGTGCAGTTGAAAGGCTTGATCTTCCCGTCCCGCGAACACAGTCTCACAGCAGCATCGTCGCGGAACACCTGTGCCGATGCAGGAAGCTTCACCAGAACCTCTTCCGCCAGACGCCTCGTGGATGGCAACAGCTGTACCTTTGTAGGCATCACGGGGTGTTGAGAGGCAGACATCTTTCGGCTGGCCATCCGTCTTCACTCTGAGTTATCCCTGGATCCAAGTCGTAAGGAGCCGTCGAAGGCAGAGTCTGAGCCGATGGCGCCTTCACCAGTCGTCGAGGTTCAGGTCACGCAGGAGCAGAGAGAGCCACGAGAGGTCCGGATCGAGGGAAGTCGACTCATGACCACCCTTTTCTGTTGCGACAGTTTTGCTCCTTTCTGTGAGGCAGTTCTCGAGGATGTCGAGACAAAGCCGCCCACAAAGGACAGCACAGTTGCCTCGGACTAAAACCGAACGTGCCGCCCGAGCTGCACTCTTCGAGAACGACAGCACCGTAATTTAGGACCCATTCGGAGGTCGGTCCTATTGGCAACAGGAGCTACCTCCCCCACTGTACCTCCTTGCAAGCCACAGCAGCTCCGGTCAGTTCCGGATTCGTGAATCCAGTACTTCCAAGCTGGACCGAAAGCATGACGTCAACATGATCTTTGTCACTGTGCTTCCAAATGCAGGAGCCTGAGACGCAGGAGGAGGACAAAAAGGAGGAGCAGCAGAAGGGCGAGCAGCCCGAGGGCGAACGGCCGAAGGAGGAGCCCAAAGCTGAGGAGCTCACAGACGGGTCGGACCAGGAGAAGGCCCAGGAGTCCAAAGATCAGTCCGAGGAAGAGGCGAAGGAGGCGCCTGGCATCGCATCGGTTTTGTTGCTCAAGCTTCGTAGTGCTGTCTTCAAAGAGGCAGGCCGAAGGTTCCATCGGCACCAGTCAGTTCTGAATGAACTTCGTTTCCCACCGTTTCATGGCAGGACAAGGCAAACGAAGGTCGTGTTACATGAGAGCTGCCGAAGAGTCGTTCACGTCAAGGACGCGGAGCCACTCAGAAAAGAATCCAGCCTCCAAAAGCAGCGTCTTACTCCAGAGCGCATGCGCGTGCCGAGCCGGCTTTGTAGCTGCAAACACGGTGACGGGCAGCTTTGCACTAGCACTGCTACTGACATGTGGTTTCCTTTTTAAAGCAGGCACAGGCAAGATACTGCTGTAAATATCGACACCTGGTCCCAAATACGCTGCAGGGCTTTCATTCCATAAGCATCGAATAGAATGCCAGGCATGATCTCAAAGCTTGACAAAACAACGTATGATACTGCGCGATCACACTTGTTCATGCAATTAGTTGGCCCGTTCTTGCATTCTTATTCCGCTCATGCCGATGCACTATCCATCACGGAGATGGATTGCTGCTCTGATCTTTGTTGTGCCTTGTTCGGCAGAGAAGCGAGGTCGGACAACCATGCATTCGGCATTGCAGTCCATGCATGCATGGACGCATGCATACATGCATTGCCTGGATGGCCTGGAATCATGTGTTTAAGGCAGCAGCAAGATCGTGCAACTTCGGCACGTTCGTCGGGACGTTTCGGCACGGATATGTTGGGCACAGACAGTTGGCAACACGGCAAGAATGTCAGATCATGTGCTGAGGGCCGCCTTGCCTCCTCCCCTCCATTCAGGTGAGTTTACAGCAAGCTGACCGCGATGATAGTGCCATGGCGGGGACCTTAGTATTGGGCCCGTAGTTCGGGTGGAGATGTGTCGGGAAGTTGGAGTGATTCTTTTCGAGGTGGACACCATTTGGTCCAAAGGTGACAAGCCAGAGCCAGAAGCAAGTCCCGAGAGGCCGACACGGACAGTACACAGTACTGGCTGCACGAAGATGATGTCGTCGGGTTTCTTGTTTCAGGGAGGCGGCGGAAATACAAAGAAAGCAGCGCTGGGAGAAGGTCCACAAGGAGAAGGACACCGATAAGTCCTGCGAAAGTACCTTGCGCCCGTACATGCCTTTGTTCCAGGATCCGGATGGAGACCTTTTCGTTTCTAAGAACTTTCATGCGAAACGTGCCCCAGCGAATGGTGATTCCTTGCTACACGTTGGACGTTTTTGGATTCACGGTCGACGGAGGTCTGGCACGCGTCATCAAGAACCGCATGCAGTTAAGCGGGAGGGCGGTCATGCGTGTCATCGGAGATCGTTCAACGAACCATGCGCTCAAAGTGGCCCGGATGCGTTTCCGACTTTGCATGTCGACAGCTTGTGGTTACATTCGATGTTTCAAGCAAGGCAATTGCATTGGCCAATGAGACGCTTGCCTGAATTGACCAAAAACCTCGTCTGGGTAAGTCCAAGCTCCCAAAGGTGGGAGGAGTGGGGCACATGCGTTGCACTCGGAGTGGTGTCCAAGGATGCTGCAAGGAAGCGACCTGAAAGGCGAACAGGCGCGCGCTGTCCGGAGCAATGCCTGCAACAAGATACAGAATTCATTTGCAGGTCCTTGGAGCTGTGCCATACTTCAAGCAGGTCAAAATAGATGAGCAGGATTCCGATTTTGCATAAACTTGCGAAACATACCAGGCTGTTGCATTGTGCTGGGGATGGGAGGATGATCTTGCAAATGTCCTGTTCCTCGAGTGCAAGCTTCTTCCACGACCAAGGCCTTCTTGACGAAGCTTCGGTTCTTTGGTAATCGATTGATGGTTCCAGGTTGGAGGATGTGACCGTAGAGGAGAAGCAGATCTTGGCCACAGGCTCGTCCTTTGTGACATCATGCGTGCAAGGTTCATGACAAGTTCGGCTGCGTACCGTTTAGTAAGGCGAAGGACAGTTCTCGAACTACTTTTGACCGGGCCTGCCAGGCACCAGGGAGAAGATGCCCAAGATGGCGGCAGCTTTGAAGAACCGCCTCAGGAGAGATTTTCACAGCCCGGTCCCGTATAGGATGGGTTAGACTACCGGTTGGTAAGTTCTGTTCAGAACAGCACTCGGTGGACAAACAAGCATGCTTCTTCAGCCTTCAAAGAGCTTTGCCGAGTGCCTGCAACCATCTTCCAGGGAAAATGCAGCTGCCGTCGTTCTTGGCATGGGACCTCGGCAACTGCATTTGGCCGTTAAGGCCTGGCCCCTACAACGCATGTCAAAGCACCGGTCTAGTTTTGCTTTGCTTGGCACGTGGATGCTCGTGTGTTCTCGAGTTGGGAGGCCATCTTGCAGGCTGGGCGCTTCCTTCGTGAGGACGAGGTGCTGTCGTTGCATCGCAAGCCCACACTTGCGACCTCCGAGCATCAGGGCGAGCAGGGCGATGGACTGAAGGCATCGGCCCTGGAGTTGCAGAGTCGACATGGAGTCATGCTGGAGCGCGTCGCGGCGTGCAGTGCAGGTTCCTGCCATCGCCGTGATGCCGGCCATGCAGGAGTTCGCTCCCAGGCCGCTGAACGCAGTCCTTGCACTCGAATGCTCGAACGTCGGAGCCGTGTTCGCCGTCGCATCGCGAAGCACACTGCATTCTCCACTCGACGTCGTCGGCCGCAGGTTGGTCAAGTCGCGAAAGTTCATGAAGAAGGGCGAGGATGATCCAGTTTCGATTGGTATGAGGCTCGTGTTTTGAGTTTTCCCAATGGGCTTGCAGGTTGCAGCAGTGCCAACTGCAGTCTGTAGAGCTTGTTCCCTCACAGCTCGAAAGCATCATGAGCGGCCGGCACAGCTGATTGTATTGGGTTAACTTGAGCCTCTGGCAGGCTCGAGTGCGTTGACATCAGAGACCGATGGGCGCCAACTGCCAGTGAGGGGGACGAAGATGCTGACAGCAAACCTGCCATGGTCGCCGCGCCATGGGAAGCCCAAGAGTGAAAATGAAAGAAGCGTGTGCTGTGAACTCACGGAGCCAAGATTGTTGAGCAGTGCTGCGGGGAAAGACTCGGGAAGAAAAGCTGTAGATCTCTTGGTTCTGCTGCTGCCCATGAAGCCGAGATTCATGTGAAAGTTAGCGTCCTTGCTCCGGTCTCTCGCAGCACGAGCTGTTCAACCTGCCTCCATTGAAGTCTGGCCTTGCCATTGCACCTCGAGGTGACCATGGCTCGCCTCCTGCAGATCTCGCTGCTATTCGGTCTGGTGCATGTTGGTCTCGCAACACACATTCGAGGAAGCCAACAGGAACCCACTGACGAATCAGACGACACCTTGCCAGACAGCCTCCTTGCGGGCAATGCAGTCGTAGGCATGGATCAGGACATGCGCACAAAGATGTTGGTGCAAGTGAAGGCCATGGATGCCATTGTCGATGCTTGTGAGGATGTCGTTTGTGGCGAGCTGAAATGCCCCACTGGGTTCGCTGCAAAGAAGTACGACGGCCATTGCTGCGCATACTGTGTCAATCCCGACATCAAAGTTGAGCCCAAGATTGTCGGCGCTACGGGCAAGTTCGGTGCAGAAGAAAGCGATGTTTGCCCTTATGTCTGGTGCTTCCCAACGATGTGTGAGAAGGAGGAGATCATGCCGACGGATGAGAACGGCCAGTGCTGCCCCGTATGCCCGAAGTAGGTCGCATCATGACGGCTGCATGCTCCAGAGAAACAGTGAGCCCTGCATGCTTTTTATCGGTTAATCTGAGTGCCATGGACGAGAGTGCTTGGATGTGCGATACATGCTTGCATTCATGCCACCTCGAGTAGTGCTGGCATAGATTGCTGGGCAGCCATCGCAGCGATGGCCGTGGCATGAAGCTCAGACGCTGATGGTGCCTGCTGTTTCGCAAACCCTAAACCCTGGCTAAGCAGCATCGCGTGACGTAGCGAGGTTCTCCACAATCCGCCGGTCATGGCGAGATGGACCTTTGCCCGAGAAGATACTGAACCACTTCTGCCAGGGCAAATCGTGCAACCTCCGCTCCCAGAAGGTCCCCGAGTGCCCCTGCCACCTCCTGAGATTCTAACCCTGCGATGCAACGACAAACTGTGAACAAAACAGCATGGGCATTGCACTTTTTGTGTGTGGAGGGCCATGATCCAGCAGCCACAGAACGTGTACCTGCCTCGGATTTCCAGATTGACGGTCTCAGCTGAGTGTCTTGACAGCCTCGTGTACACTTGGTGATGCATTGTGATGTCGCGGCGTGTGACAGCTTCGAGCACGGCTTCTGGTGGTAATTAAAGAACACCCAGCCTCGGCTGCCCCGTGCCAACACCGCACGGACAGGATCCGGATAACTCCAGAAACACAGCCTCTCACTCGCACAGAGCTGAGTCCAACATTTCACTTCACGTCGTGCATGCGTGTTCATAGCTTTGCAGCAATGGCACGGCGCAGAGTTCAGCCATTGTTGATCCTTTCTGGCTTGGTGGTTGCAGCGCAGGGATCCCGGATGGTCCTAGAGTCCTAGATCCAAAGCTTGGTGATCGTATCGGACTTCGTCTGCGCATGCCAGGGTATGCAGGCTGCAGAGATCGCTCGCGGCCGTATCGGCTGTGCCGAGCCCTTCGTGGCCCGTCAGGTGCCATGCTATGGATTTGTCTTGGCAGAGCTATGAACTGTGAGCTAGAGCTAGAGCTCAGCCTGCTTTGTGAAGTGGTGAGGGAGTACGCACATTGCAACAGAGAAGTCTTCCTGTCCAGGAGAAGATGGTTTTTCAATGCGGCAGCTTCCGCTGGAGTTGCGGAAAACTTGCCTGCCTATGCACAAGGCGCCGGGAGCGGACTGAGCCTCTGTAGATTTCGGTCGGAATCCTATCCTTGAGGCATTGACCTGGGATTCTTGGATCCGCAAGCTCCCAAAGATGTCGCTGTGGCGCCCAGCGATGCAGAAGTCACTTCGAGCTCCTCGCCTGAGCGGCTTTAGGGCCTTGCAGTCGTCGTGAACTCTTTGCTTCGCATGCTTGATCTCCGGACAGAAGGATAAACAGAGTCCAGAACACAAGATCTGAACAATTCCGCGGTTGCTAGGTGGCTTGAAGTCCAAGCTCCTGCTGCGGCCGACCTGTGCCCTCTCAAAGTCGATTCCGCTCACGCCGCCTGGGCCATGCCAAGCTATCTGCTGTGGAATCGATGTGTGGGTTCTATGTGTGATGCTGCGTCTGCGTTGTTGAAGAGAGCTTTCCCATCTAAGGAACCCCTCCTGTGAGCGCCCGCAGCCGTGGGACAAGGCTGAATGATCTGTTGTGTCAAAGTTGATTTTGCGAGAAGAGATGCCTGAGCAACCCGGTTCGGTTCTGTCCCGGAAGCTTATTGCCAGGTCTTGATCGACTACACGGGATGGACGCCGGCTGGCAAGATGCTCCCTGGTTGCGTTCAAGCTTTGCGAGATTTTTCGGACTGTATAATGTACAAAGCGAAGCTGAGGATCGACAGCAGCAGGAACGAGAAGCGCTTGGTTCGCGTGAACTCGGTCATGCCAGGATGGACCGAAGGAGCGATTTGTCAGCTTTTGAAGGCGAGGAAAGGCTCCCAAGGATAACACGCTAGCCGCTAGTCACAAGATGTCACTGTCCAAGAGTCTGCGTAACTTGGAAACTTGGGAGTTGCTTGGCTTTGAGGACTCCAAATGATGGCACCTGGGGAGTCTCGCCGATTCTGGATCCCACCAGAACTGGCCTTTGGCAAAAACGAGTCTGTCACTTGGACAAGAACTGAACTGTCTGACTCCCACACAACGCCTGTGTTAGGCTCGAGATTTACGGATTCACGAAGGATTGGGTCAATGGGGCGAAACCCATGTAATTTGGCAATGCTTCATCGGCTTGCGGAGTGCAGAGATCCTCGAAGGCGACCAGCAAACCGACTGGCCCCCTGGTCTTCGATGTTGAGCTGTATTCCATCGAGAGGCCTTGCAAAGTCGATGCGCGGGACGGTTCATGCAGCTGCTTGTAATGTTTTTGATTTTCAGGCCGCACCATGGCCTTTCGACTATTGAACTTACTGCTATCGCTTCTCTTTTCAGGCAGGATGACACGATCAGACAGGAAACGCATTATCCGCTTGGAAGCAACAAGGGACATGGCGCCAGTTGAGCCCACACGAATGTGCAATCCCTGACTCGCACGGAGTGGAGATTCACCATGTGACCCCAAGCCTACTACACCAATTGAAATTCCCTAAATTTACACGACCTGTGTCTGGTTTGATCGCTCAGAGCTCTGAAGAAGCCCCCAGGCATCTCCAGGCATACGAAGCATGAAGCAGTTGCGAACTATGTTGGGTTGTTGCAAGTGACTGTAGTCTGTAGGATCCCATGTGCTGAGATTGTCTTGAACCAGGCAGCCAAAGCCACCTGCAGAGTTCGGAGCCCCGGGCAATGTCAGAAGGTGCCAAAGACGATAGTGAGTTTAGTGCCAGGCTGACCGCTGTGCCACAGGATGCAGCCAGTCTCTCAGTGGTTTCAGTCTTCGACGCACCTTCTCAAGATCTTGTGGCACATGCAACCAGCTTCAGGATCCGGCTCTTGAGATTTTCGCAGGTTTCCAAAGACTGTAGGTCGCCTAACTCATATGACATGCGCAAAAACGGGTTAAGGGTCCGTGCGCTGGTCAAGTGCTCTGTCAGCCATCCTGTACAGGATTCCTGACAAAACGCCGAGCGATGATTATGGCTTTCATGAGCCGATCATTTCATTGACTTGCAATCAATGATTCAACAAGCACTCGTGCGTCGTGCAGTCCGAAGTCCAAAGCATGCCAAAGCTATCAACACGCCGGGCAGTGCAAGGTCTCCACCCCGAGCGGCCTCGCGTACAAGAAGCTCAAGCCAGGCTTCCACGGGGATTTCAGGCCTAAAGGCCTAAAGGCGATACCAGCGTGAGCCAGCCCGTGTAGTATTTCTTGCGTCTCGTTGACGGCATGGCTCAGGGCCGCTAAAGCCAAGCAGCTTTCTGCGTATAATAATGCTTTTTGCCAGGAGCCGGAAACAGGAGTCCAGGGCTTGATTCGCTCCTCGGCACTCTTTTGCCCTTGAAGAGGGGAGGCCTCAGGGGTAGTGCGAGAAGCCGCTAAGCCTCGACCTCGACCAGGAACGTGACCGCCTTGTACAATGGCTGGTCCTCAAATGGAGACCTGGTGCTTTCGACATCTTTCGGGGCCCAGGACACATTCTTCATCAACGAGGCACGGCTTCGAGCACATTGTCACAGAGAGAGCTGCATTTTGCGATGATGGAGGTTCCCGTTGAAGGCTTGAAGGAGGCCTTGCAGCTCCTGGTCGAAGGCAGGATCCGCTTGGGATGCGTCACAAGTCTCGTCCGTGTGTGTTGTCAGGCGAAACACGCCGTTTCTGGATCCCAGGGAAGTTGGCTTTTGGTGAAAGGGCGGAGGAAAGTCGTGGCCTTCCTCCAGGTGCCGAGGTTTGAGTCTAGCCTGGTAAGTTCCGTGCAACTAGCTGCATTTTGAGTTCGATTGGTTGGTTCTTGACAGGGGTCCTTGTATTCGATGTACGTCTCCTCAGCATCAACAGCTGAAGCCTTCGACGGGTCTCACGCGACTATTAATTTGTTAACAGCTAGCTAGATCTTAGATAGGTTTGTTGCGATTTTCCAGTGCTGCTGGAACCCATCGATGTGCCGGCACGCATGAAGTTGCAAGCTTGCTGGTCACGAGGGCAGTGGCTTATGCAGTGCCAATGTAGCACGATTACAAAAACCCTGATGCTGTGGATATCTGCGAACAAAGGTGCATCTTTTTTGCAACGGCATGCTCATCGTATTTATTTGGTGAGTCTGCCTTGACTGAGTGTAAGGACGCCTCAGCAACCGCCTTCGCTTTCACTCCCAGTGCACGGAAGCTTGGGGGTTAGCGGACCACCGGATTCCAAGTATCATCGGCCTGTCGGTGGAGTCCTACCAAGGGCGAAGAGAGAAGTCATACAACCACAAGCTCCGGAGGCACATTGTCACGCAGCACGCAGCATTCGAGGCCCCAGGCCCCAGACCTCCTCTGTGGAGGTTGCCCAGAAAGTGCTTTGGGAGAGACCTGCCAAGCCAGCTGGATGGTCGGCCATTTGGGAGGTTCGAGACGCATGATGGTGGCATGTGCATACGGTCGTGCTGTGCTGCGTCGTGAGGTTCTGCCCCCGCCACCACCACCGCCTTTGGACGAAGACGGGTCCCCTTCCCAGAGGATCTCCGAGCGGACAACGGACGGACCAGACACATCGCTTGATACGCTTAGGGTGTGGATTTGGGTGCCGGAGGGTGAGGAGATTCCCGTCGGCGCCATCGTCCCGCATGAGGCCTTCCTACCACACGCAGACGTGGCCCTTTCCTCAGTCCTTCTGCTCGGAGATAGGCGAAATGAAGCAGCAGCCAGCTAACATAGCGAGGACTAGGCGGATTCTGTGTGCTTGTACCCAGCCACTTAGGAAGATGAGGACTTGGATCTAGATGACATGGAGGCCCACGGTTCGGCTCAGCCGTCACCTCGATTCCGAAACTCTGGACCTACTATGACCTACTATGCCATGCACCGGGACATGACTCGTAAGTGTCAGAGCCGAGGTTTGGGCTGGATGAGTTGGAGCAGAAACTTGATCAGACGACGAACGCAGGCTCGCCCTGGCGCAGCCGACGTGTTCTGAACCAGACTAGAGAGCTAATGTCACACGGAGAGACAGAGAGACTTCAGGCTTTTCGGTCCCATCAACCTTCCAGGCCAGGCCAGGGCTTTCTCACGGCACGCGCACACGCACACACGCAGACGACTCACACTCTTTCCCGAGTGGTCCCCAGTGCAAGATTCAGTGACAATACGGACGGGTTACGCTTCACGATGTTTTATGCGAGCAAAGAGTTGGAGAAAACACTGGAGGACGTGACTACAAAGCCACTAGGAAGGAACAGCTGATTGGCATGCTTGCGTAGAGGCTGGGACTTTGTTAGCTCAAAGTGCAGCCGCGGACGCTTTCGCTTGTTCTCTAAGCTGTCCAAGCTGGACCACGGAGATACTCCAACACACCGAGTCTCTTTGTGTGTGTCTCAATGACTGAGGCCTGGCAGCCATTCCCAGCAGACGCTACTGTGGACGATGACGCCCCATCGACGGCCTGGGACAGGGCTTCAAGCGCTTCAGTACAGAGTATCAAATGAGTTTGGATTGTTACCTTGCTTCAGCTGCTTCGTTATGTGCTTAACGATACGACGGTCGCCAGCGACTCACCTGCAGCTTTGAAGAGGCTTGGCATCCCGTCGATTCACACGTGGGCGTGCCACAAGATCATCAGGCCTGGCAGCACGTGTCGGATGCGTCTTCTTTTGAAGCCTGCGGTAGATGGAACCGAGCTTCAGTTGGCAGTTCGAGCCGCACTAGAGCTAGGTAGCATTCAATCCCCAAAGTGGCCAGGTCCCACAGCTGCCTGGTTCGCAGATGCCTGCCGGCGTTACGGTTCAGAGTAGCCAGCAGGCCCAGACCTGCCCATGAACTGGGGATACCGTTCTTCTGATCATGGTCCTTCCTCATAATCTAGGCATTGTGTCGGGTGGCACATTTTCGGCGGCCGGCTTGCCAGCGACGACCGTCCGTCTGCCGGTCACATTTCTTGCTTTCCAACCTCCTTTTTGTACCATAGTTGGGGACTGTGCAACCCATCACGAAAGGTGAGAGCTGGTTCGCGCGGGCTCTCAACGACATCCCGAATGTGCAAAACCCCAAACCCCGAGCAGAAGGTCTTTGCACTTTGCTGTGACTGTGACAATTATACATTTGGGGCGTGAGTGTGCCGGAGCATCAGTCAGAAAATTTAGCCGGTAACCTTTCGACGCCCACCCGTGCCGTTTTTGATGTCACATGCTTACGCCATCACACACACACACACACACACTCTCCCGACCTCGGTGACGTTATATGATTTGGCTGGCTGCTGTCCTCTGCTGGGGTCGAAGTGTGAGCCATGCAGCCATCGAGTCAGCTAGAGGGTCTAGGCTAGGGTCACAATTCAGAGCCTGTAGGGTCTGTCCAGCAAGAGAGCCCTTTCAGCCACCACCAACCTTCCAAGCAAGCAGAAAAGCCACTCATGCTCGCTGCGCATCTGTTGTCTGAGGGCCATTCTTGATCTATGATCTATGACGATCTACGTGTTCCGCCAAGACTGCGTGTTGTCAGGCCTGGCAGCCCTTTTCTTCGCAGACGGGCGTGCCTGCAGAATGCGGCAGCATACAGGCCAGGATCCGACCTCCACAAGAGTACTGTTCGCAGACACCAGCCACCGTGACGTTAAGCTGGTCACAGACACTGTTGTGCCTGACTTAGCATTTCTTAGCATTTCTGCGCAAGACATTCTTAACTTCTGTTTCCCCAAACCATCTGGAGATGACATTGGAGGTCCCACAGTTGCCTGCTTCGCAGATCTCTGCCGGGCCTGCGTTGCAGAGCAGCCAGCAGGCCAGACACGCCGACGAACTAAGGATGCGCTGTTTTGATCTATTTGGATGTATTTCTTCTGCCCACAGTGTTGCACGCATTGGCACGCTGTCAAGCAGGCCTGGCAGCCGTTTTCTTCGCAGACCGGCCTGGCCGCTGAATGCGGCAGTCAACAGGCCAGGCAGCGCTCGTCAGAGTGATACTGTAAGAGTATATCAGTACTATGCGCAGACAACGCGTGACACTGCTAGCGTGCGCTGAACGTCGTGAAGTTGAAGTTTGATGGGTCTGCCGAAAGTATTTTCAGCGACAGATGTTGCCAAAGCACCAGACTAGAGATGAGGTTGGCATACAATCTCCAAAGTGGTGAGGTCCAGCAGTTGCCCGCTTCGCAGTTGTCTGCCCGTCCGGCATTGCAGAGCAGCCAGCAGGCCAGACACGTTGGTGAATTCTGGAATCTGTTGGCCTGTTTTGAGAATTCTGAGGCCCACAGAGAGTATGCTCAAGCTAGCAATTCTTCGAAAGATCCTGCGGGGGCAAGCCGGGCCAGCGATAAGGTAAGACTTACTTTTCACAGTGGCGAGGTCCAGCAGTTGCCTGCTTCGCAGATCTCTGCCGGACCTGCGTTGCAGAGCAGCCAGCAGGCCAGACACGCCGACGAACTAAGGATGCGCTGTTTTGATCTATTTGGATGTATTTCTTCTGCCCACAGTGTTGCACGCACGCATTGGCACGCTGTCAAGCAGGCCTGGCAGCCGTTTTCTTCGCAGACCGGCCTGGCCGCTGAATGCGGCAGTCAACAGGCCAGGCAGCGCTCGTCAGAGTGATACTGTAAGAGTATATCAGTACTATGCGCAGACAACGCGTGACACTGCTAGCGTGCGCTGAACGTCGTGAAGTTGAAGTTTGATGGGTCTGCCGAAAGTATTTTCAGCGACAGATGTTGCCAAAGCACCAGACTAGAGATGAGGTTGGCATACAATCTCCAAAGTGGTGAGGTCCAGCAGTTGCCCGCTTCGCAGTTGTCTGCCCGTCCGGCATTGCAGAGCAGCCAGCAGGCCAGACACGTTGGTGAATTCTGGAATCTGTTGGCCTGTTTTGAGAATTCTGAGGCCCACAGAGAGTATGCTCAAGCTAGCAATTCTTCGAAAGATCCTGCGGGGGCAAGCCGGGCCAGCGATAAGGTAAGACTTACTTTTCACAGTGGCGAGGTCCAGCAGTTGCCTGCTTCGCAGATCTCTGCCGGGCCTGCGTTGCAGAGCAGCCAGCAGGCCAGACACGTCGACGAACTAAGGATGCGCTGTTTTGATCTATTTGGATGTATTTCTTCTGCCCACAGTGTTGCACGCATTGGCACGCTGTCAAGCAGGCCTGGCAGCCGTTTTCTTCGCAGACCGGCCTGGCCGCTGAATGCGGCAGTCAACAGGCCAGGCAGCGCTCGTCAGAGTGATACTGTAAGAGTATATCAGTACTATGCGCAGACAACGCGTGACACTGCTAGCGTGCCCTGAACGTCGTGAAGTTGAAGTTTGATGGGTCTGCCGAAAGTATTTTCAGCGACAGATGTTGCCAAAGCACCAGACTAGAGATGAGGTTGGCATACAATCTCCAAAGTGGTGAGGTCCAGCAGTTGCCCGCTTCGCAGTTGTCTGCCCGTCCGGCATTGCAGAGCAGCCAGCAGGCCAGACACGTTGGTGAATTCTGGAATCTGTTGGCCTGTTTTGAGAATTCTGAGGCCCACAGAGAGTATGCTCAAGCTAGCAATTCTTCGAAAGATCCTGCGGGGGCAAGCCGGGCCAGCGATAAGGTAAGACTTACTTTTCATAGTGGCGAGGTCCAGCAGTTGCCTGCTTCGCAGATCTCTGCCGGGCCTGCGTTGCAGAGCAGCCAGCAGGCCAGACACGCCGACGAATTAGGGATGCTGTCGTTCTGATCTGCATGTTCTGCAAGCACTTATCGGGACATCTTCGCATGCGAATGTATGTGCATCACTGCAAGTCTGCAAGCTACTGACATATCAGCAACATGTCTTGTCTCCGAGCTGCAGTTCTCTTTGCGTTTCTTAGCAACAGGTACCGCCATCGAACCAAAGAAATTATGGTGACCTGACACCAAGCTGGGCGACTCTGTGCAGGTAGCCCCGAGCTCCGCGCAGCAGACTCCGCGAGGGCAGGCCCTGAAGCGTGTGTCACAGCCGTGTTAGAACAGAGAAGGCACAGACATGTGCCTTCGAGTGTGAGCAGCAAGAGTGCGGCATGGTTCAGCAGTGACCCCAAAGTGTATGAGAATTCTGCCGCGACATAAGAACAAGCTTGCGGTGAGGGCTGGAACCCATGGGCAACAAATCTCGGCAGGAACCTCAGGCTTAGGCGACATCGTCAGGTGTAGGCTGTGCATCTTGGGATGCAGCACAAGCTGGAGGAAGTTCACCGTCTTTGGTTTCGGGTTCCATGCTGGGGACTTTGCCAGAAGCGCAATTGCATTTAGTGTTTGGGGCCTTCAAACCCTACGTCAGCCTTGAGCCAGTCTGCTTTAAACCTCGCCAAAGACTCTCTTGATGAGTATAACTAATCATATTCATACATGTCTCGGCTCTCTCTCTTTCTCTCCCCTTGTGTGTTGCGCGTGCACACCAGCACGCGCAGACCTACAGTAGTCAGACACGGTCAGGCAGACAAAGACAAACATGCCAACACACGCAAAAAATAAACACGAGCATACATGCATGCATACATACGTAAATATGCACATTGTTTTTTTTTTGTTTTCTCTCTCTCTCTCTCTCTCTTTAGCTCCTTCGTTCATACCGCTCTCTCTCTCTCTCTACATATGTATGTGCATGTATATATATATATATATATGCACACACATACATATCCGTATATGGAGCACCCCCCCATACATAGATACATACATACGTACATATATGTACACACACATATATAAATATACTTATATACACCTGCGGCCTGTCCCGCCTCATTATCATTAGCCACTGAGTTTGGAAGGGTTTTTTGAGGGAGACTGCAGCTGTGGATTGCTTAAATGGGTATGTGAGTTGTCGGAGCAAAGCTTTATGTTGCAGATGAGTCTTGGATTCAGGGCTCTCGGGTGAAGGCGCGCTGATTTTATGAAAGGGGCTGAGGGACTGCAAGCTTTGCAAGGGATAAGATTTTGGTGGTGATTTTGTAAGTGGCTCGAAGCAAGCAAAACCAGAACAAACCGCGTAAACAGGCCGTGTGACCAAAGCAGCTGCCTCTTTTCAGTTCTGCAGGGCTTTCGAGTGGTTAGTGAAGGAGTTGATGCGTGCATGTCACACAGATGATTGCACAATACATAGACATAGAGCACGAACAACGATCCTATAGCTAACTACATGGATAAGAGCGAGAGTTTTTGTTTGCACGCCGATTGTACTCGTATCTGTGTTTTCAGCATACGGTCATACGTGCATATACCTGCCTTCGACTCGGTGGCATGATGTGGTGCTAGCAGGAGTCTCTTGTGGTGTGGGCCTTCTCTGCATGAACCTGAGGCGCGAACGAAGCTGCGCCGGTCTCTAAGAAAGAGATCCTGGCAGTGGCAAGCGGCACATCTTGTAACATCGACCTCTGGGAGGTTCTGGGGCAGCGTTTCAGGGAATGACATGCACAGGCAGCGTGAGCCGACGTGCACTGCACCCTTGCAATCCTGTATGTTGCTGCGTTGCTGCGTGCAACAGGCGGATCATCGGCGATATCGGAGCCTTTGACTCTGGCGATTTTAGGCTCCCGCTGCTGTCGCGATCGGGTTGACGTGGCTGTGGCACGTCGAGCTGACACAGGTCCTCACCTGCAATGAACAGTCGGTGCGGCACTGGCAGTCGCCTCAAATCTGCTCCTGCTTGATTAAAATCCCGGTAGGCCGAGCATGCCACCATCCCCAGCGCAGTCCGGGCGTGCTTGGACCTCTGGCTGCGGCGTTCTGCAAGCAAACCACCAGGTCCGAGCAGCTTGCAAAATTGTGTTAGCAGCGTGTGGTAGTGGTGACCACGGTTGACAGGAGATGCAAAGCTTGGAAGGGACTGCATTTTGGCAGCTTCCGTTCTGGCTTCAGAACTTTCGCCCAAGTAGTTCGCACGGATCTTCTGTCGGCTGAAGGCCAACTGCTACGAAGCGCGAGCCTCAACACACCGGGAGTTTTTGGAAGCTTTAAGCACCGTAGTTCGACTCGAGGTCTGGTGCCTTTCCGAGCGGACCCCTCGCTCAGTCTGGGACTAGGTTACAATAGGGCTGTCATGGATGCCTTCATTCAGTCGGAGGGAAGAGGTACTTAATTCCTGGTCTCAGGCCGCAGTCCCAGAATCAGGCGCGGCTTTGATGGCAACAACGAGTGATGCCGACTTACATGGGACCTTTGGATTATGGGTTCAGGTTCAAAGACGACTGAAACGTAGGCTGCAGGATGAACAGGGCAGCAGTGACTGTGAAGGTTCGAAGCACTCACGAGATGCGAAGTGCTACAGTTGCACCTGCAAGCCAAGGTGGGCAGGAGATCCTGGAAAGTTCTTTCCAACATGCTGTTCATGCTTCGCCTGTAGAGGCTCAATCGCAATGGGCAGCAGACCTTCCCTGCCTTCAAACGAATCAGCCGGACGAACATTGCTGAGCCTTGTCTTCTGATACCTGTACCTGCTCAATTGCTGCGCGCAGCCCATGCACTGGGCAGATTGCACGAGCCATTGCTCGCACCCAACTGCTGCTGCTTTTCGGCAGTCTGCTAAGACATGCCAATATTTCACCGGCAAGCCAATGGATCTGAGGACATCCACCAGTGAAGGGCTCGAAGTCCGTGCCTTGATCCAACGACTTCCTGCCCCGTCGACTTCAGAGGAGTTATTGCAGGTGACATATGCCATCGCCAACCCCCCAGGCCACGTGTCGGATCCTCAGGCTGTTGTGGCTTGTGCATTGGCTCCGGAGCAGTCCCGCCCTTCACAAGGCCTCTTAGCACGCCGAATATGAGTCACCTTCCTTCGTACTGTGCTGGCACCTGCCTGAGCTGACAGCGAGCAGTCTCAACCTCCAGTTGCCGCGATCTTCTGCCCGGTTGCTTCGGCAACAATTGCCAGGCTCTGTTGGAAACAATCAGAGGCCCTGGTCGTGCCTCACAGGGTATAGTTTCGCGCAGCGGCAGGGTCCAGAGCAGAAATCACAATTACGGTTTCCTCTTGGTTGGGATGTGCTGGGATTGGCTTGCCGGCCAGTATATACTGGATCGTACCTGGTGCCGGAAACCCTATGCCTCAAGCCCCGTGGTTGAAAGGTTGCCGGTTTATCAGTCACTTCTGCCGCTCGCAAGCTTTTTCTAGGGCTGACTGACATGCCGGCACTCGTTGCAGCGGTCGCCGTCGCCCCTCAGTACAAACGGTTGCACTTAACATCTTCTTTGTTGGGTCCGGTGCAGGTCCACCGGCTGCTTTGCCACACCCTGGCCGGTGCCATGCACTGCTCCAGGCCATACACCTGCCAGAGCTGCAGGATCCTACGAAGCATACAGCTTCCTCAGGTCAGCTCCGAGGTGCAAATCCTGGTGGGGTGCAGCTGCCAGGCTCTCGGAGGCTATCACGTCACTCGTCTGAGTCCCCGTTCTTGCAACTGCCAGGCTGGACGTGACTGGCCTTTACCAGGATGGGATCGCTGCTTCCTCTGCTTTGCTGGGGCAACGAAAGAACTGCCCACTGCTGAGGAGCCCAACCTTTCACAGCGACAGCCTCAGACCTTCGATCTCACATTGTCCCTTCGCAAGAAACAGAACGAAGCAACATACATCGGACAACCAAGCAAGGCCCGGTGCACTTCACGGGCGTGATGTGTCGCTCCAGCCAACGTTGCTACATCGACGTACTTCTCCTTGAGCTTTGAAAGTGCCAGGCTGGGCCCGATGCGCCCTGACGAGAGCTACCATTCCAGAGCTGCATGGGGCTCAGCGCATGCCGGCTTTCAGAAGTGTGGGAGCTCTGCGCGTAGTATTTGGGATCTAGCAAGCGGCGCCGAAGGCAAGCAATCATAGTATCCAAGGCAGCTAGCGAAGGGCTGAATGGTGGGGCAGGTGGCCGACTTTCGTCACAAGGAAATACACTGTGTTTGCACATAAACAGGAATCAAAGGCATACTCACATTCTCACACACTCATGATTCATAACCAATTAATCACCAACACAAGCCTCATGTTGATTAGGGTATCTGTACGCTCCATGTTATTGGGTACTTGTACGTAGTCATCGAGACATACAACCTTCGATTGCTTGAATATGTGTTGGGGTGGGCGGCAGGGTGAATGCAAATGCTAGGTGAGTAGCGACATAGCGCTGCCTGCCACCCGACCTTGCTACGCTTACTCGCGCATGCAGGCATCACATACACACGAATAATCACGAATACATAGGATGTATATGTGCATGCACACACACACACACACTCACACCAGTACTGACTTTCAGGCTCGAATCGAACACATTAGTATGTGCTTGACAAGCCACAGGATGCATAAGCGCATACCAGCACCCACGAATCGTTAGTTCAGCATCAGGCATTGCTGGGTATGGAGCACATGTTTTCCAATTTCCCGTCGAAGGCGCAGACCTGGATGAATGACCCCCGACTCGCGAGGCAGCTGTGTCCTCAGATCGTGGACTGCATCCTCCAACAAAGGTTGACAGTTAAGTAGTTAAGTCTTAGTATCGCAGGAACGCAGTGTCGTGTTGCAGAGCCGTTGACGTAGAGGGAATTGATCGGGCTTTGAATAGGCATGCCTCTGTTGCGCATTGGCTCAGAGGCTGGCGCGTCCCTAGAACCCTCTGGAGCGCCTTTCCACGTTCGATATTGCCGGTTTGGCAAAAGTTCAAGATTGGGCTTCGCATTCTTCTGACCGGTGGGCGTGGCAAGTTTCCTAAATCGCAGCCGCATGTCTACAAGCAAGCCAACGCTAGAACACTGCAAATGCCGGTGGTATGTCTCTGTTGCTTGGCCGCATGCAGACAGCAGCCTGCAAAACCTGAGGCCAGTGGCCCAAGTGCCTCAGCGCAATCGGCATGCCACTCCGGTCCTCTTGGCCTTGGACTCAGAGACAAAGGCAGAACGTGCGGTGACAGCAGTGTTGAAAGCCGGAGATAGAGAGGACATGACGAGACTGTTGAAAGGACATGGCTCCAGTCTAGTAGCCTGAGTAAAGACGGGTTCAGAAAGACGGGACAAGAAGTGAAATGATTGCTTTCAGTCGCAATGAAGAACAGCCACGGAGGGACGGAGGGCAAAGCGGCCTCTTAGGGGTTTGGCCATTTCGGCTTTGCCATGAAGAGAACCAGCGGCGCGGCGTACCTGGCAGAGCGGGACAAAGCTGCGGACCCAAAGGCGGCTTCGAAGCTGAAGCCCAACTGGAAAGGTGTCGGCTTCGGCGACTTCCTGCGTGAGCAGGGTCCCAGAAAGCCTCTCTTCGATCCTTTGCTAGAATCTGAGTGTTCCGGCGGTCGTGTCTCGGCAAAAGTGGCTGCAGAAGACGCCGGCCCAAATTCTGGTCTCATCCCCAAGTACTCTTGGTGGCAATTTTGCGATGATGGGCCGCCCAACGTGGTGGAGGAGAGTTCGGTGGATTTGTCAAAGCTCGCGAAAGTTCCTCTCGTAGCGTTGATAGCACAGGTCGCGAGCAAAGAGACGATCAACGATGCTTCCTCAAATCAGGGTTTCACCACCGCCAAGAGCCAGTCGCCGTGGACTGCTAAAGTAACAGCAGGCAAGAACGACTTGGTTCGGATTCGACGGCCTGAGGGCATCCGATCAACCGGAGTATGGCTGGTAGCAACCTTTCAAAAGGATGGGGAGACTTGGAAAGTTCAAGCAGCCGACGAGCTCTATCCGGAGAATCGCTTGGAGGCAGTGGTCCGCCTGAGGTTCAAGGAGTTTATCCATGATCAGGCCGATAAAGAAGACGAGGAAGATCCTATGGCAGCCACCCGCAGGATGTTGGAAGAAGCTATGAAATGAATCCGAAGATAAATACATAAGTCTTCAACCGCGTGCATAGTTGTGCTCCATATGATCCATATGGCTCACGGACCCAGGCCGGAAGGCAGTTCCTGTGTTCTTTACACAGTTTGTTCAAGTTGGTGTTGCCAGGGCCTCTGACTGAAACATCAAGTTTCCCACGATGCGGCGTTAATGCAAAAGTGTGCGCGGTTTTGCTCTTTCTCCGGCTGCTTGCGAATCAGCCTAAAAGTCATGATGCAGTCCAGTTTTGCTGTGCAAGGACGTGAGCTTGGGTCATCGAGGGTATGCACCTGACGACTGAGCGGCCCAGTCCCAGTATGGGATGTGAGCCAACCTTTTCAAAGTTTCACGACGATTTGCATCAAGGCTTCAAAGCTGGGCTTATGTGACTTCGTCTGTCGATAACGATGGCGATCAGAGCCAGCCAGTGCCCTGAACACATTGCCACGGACGACGCGGTGGAAACAACTCATTCTGGCAAGTCGGCAACTTCAGGGCACTGGAAGGACTTGATCGTGGCACCTATGCGGGTCGCCACAGGCTGGGGACGCCAATGCTTCGTCCCTCGCTAGCAATCTCAATCTCCTCTTCATGAGAGAGAGTCGAAATTTATGCCTGGAGCTACTGTAGCCAGCACTCAATCAGCACTCAGAAAAAAGCTGCCTTGAGTGCTGACGGTACTCCCCCCAGGATTCCCTCGTTGTGAAATCCCGTCGGCAGCAGTTGCTGTATTCATGCTTCTCGACCCGATTTGGACCCTCTGTACTAGCAGTTGGGTTCCTGTGGAGACTCGTATCTCTGCCCCTGTGAGTCCCCGAGTTGGCATTCCGGCTGATTGAAGAACCCAACGCTGGCGGCCCCCCAGACGCCTAGTCCCTGCGAGTCGCGCGGGACGGCTCCGGCCCTTGAAGCCCCAAAAATTCCCCAGGTTGACTTAGATTTGCATGATTGGGGCGCGTGTACATCTCCGCATCAGCCCAAATCGTCTTTTGCAGTTGTCGCGAAGGAACGTTTGTTTAGCTTGACACATGAAGCTTGTGCAACGCTGGGGAGTTTAAAGCAGAAGTTGCAGAGAAGAGGAAGTGCAGAATGCGACGGCCACATCCAGCATGAGAGGCAGAGGTGAAACGACTTGCACCAAGGAGTTTGATGGTTGTTGAGAGATTTAGCATCGTCCGGTATTCCCAAACGGTTGAGCGTTCAAAGTACCATCTTCTGCACTGCCTGTCCCGAGCATGGCTTTCGCATTCCATGTGGCGAACTCTGATAGTTCTTTCGCTGCCACCTGCTTTTGCAGCAGGAAGCGGAAGGGGGCTTTGGGCAAAGGTGTCTGCTTCTTGCGTGGAATTTTGGGACCAGCTGCGAAAGGCGGAGTTACACATCGACGCTTTGAGCATTGAAGATGGTATTGGCATCTCTGCAAGCAGCTATCGACACATTCACAAGTTTTTGACCACTGTGCCGTTTGATGATGCTGTCTTTTGCGTGGAAGCTGCTATTTCGGCAGCTACCTCGTCAGATGCAGTATTGATGTCTCACGTCGCGGAAAGCATTGCCAAGCTCCCGAATTGCTTCCGTGAGATGACGTTCAAGTCCGAGGCCACTTCTTCAGGAAATGGGACCTTATCGGGTTGTACAAATTTGCAAGGAGGGATTTGGTGTAGTTTCCTGCAGGGTGATAGTGCAGAAGGCAAAGCTTGAGTCCTTGGCAGGCTGAGACCCGGTGTGCCCAAAGATGGTACAAAGTCGCAATTCACGTCTTGAAAGCAGCTTGGATAGCAGCATGAGAACCGGGCTAAGCCGGTTGGCATTGCAAGCAAACTTCGTGTTCATCTCACGAGGTGAACGGCCTACAGGATGCTGCTGAGTCCATGTGGCGTCGCGCCAAAAGCATCAAGGGTAAAGACGGCAAAGCTTTGATTGGCTGGCCAAGCCCATCGCAATCGCCAACCGTTTGGGTTGCCCGCTTTTCTGTTCAATTGATGGTGTTCGTGTCGAATCGAAGTTGGATTGTCTGGCTGCCATAGTAGTGTCGTTGCAGGCAATATAGACTTGCATCATTGTCATGTGCGTTTCCAGAATCGCCACTTAAACGCCCTGGCGTGTGAGTTCCATATCCAGGTTTCGGGCTTGTCAACCCGACCCTATTGGAACTGCTCTTCTTGGCCGTTCATACAGGGATTGGAGGCTCAGTTGTATGTTGCTCGCTTGCGCGTGTCCGACTTCATGCAACTGATCTTCACTGACAGGCCGCAGCACCCGTGATTTTGAAGGAAATCGAGCGAAAAGACTCCGAGTTCTTGACGGCCTATCCGTACTTGCAGTCTTTGAGCTCGCTTAAGGGGCGCATCAACATCTAAATGTTGGTTGGCATGGCATCCATTCTTCAGGTTTCGTGCTCTTGCCAATCTGTCGGGCACACATGGAGCCGAGGACTGCGGGAGTTTGGGAAGACTTGTTCCTGTACAGAGGCGCGGCTTATTGCAGAACCGCACAGACCACGGCTTCGTTTCATACGCTGTAGGATGCCCTCGCTTAGGTCATCAGTGGAACACCACGCTCTGCCAGTCCATGCCGAGCACTTGTCGCCTTCTGCTTCCAGAACTTCCGACGCGCCCCGGTGTCCCTTATGCCACCGTTACCTGGTCTGGGAGAAAAGATTGTTCGGAGCTTGCGGCTTTTCTCTGCAGGAAGATAGAAAACTACATCACACTGTACCGTCAATGGCACGAGATTGGAACGAGGTTTATAATGAAGAAGTCGTGATCTTCCGATCCAAGCGTGGAGCTTCGGTGGGTGCGCACTGCGGATCCTCCAATGGTGTGATAAATTTGCACCTGACATTGAAGGGAGGCATGGACGGTGCAGATGTTTGCCGTCTCCGCGTTGACTGCTTGTGCATAAGAACTGAGGGCCCATGAGACTCAGACAGCGCAACTCCGAAGTGGTGTAGTCTGTCTCGGCGAGAGCCCGCGCCCATCAGGCCGTGGAACATCCGTCTCTGTAGACGGATTGCAGGTTGACTTGCGCGACGGTGAAGCGATCTGCTTTCAAGACAGCTACTTCCATTCCGTGCACCACGGCCTGGATGGGGAAGAAGAGCGCATCTCCCTCGTCGTCCGAGTGATGCACCCAGACATGGACGCAAAGCTGCTCGGCTCCCGGACGGACTCCGCGCCCGGGTGGCTTTGGCTTCAGCCTTTCTGATTTTTCATAGAGGTTTTTTCGGAGGCTTGGCGATTTTTTTCTCTGAAGAAAGCAGTTGCTCTAATGGGCTTGGTGAGGTGCCAGATCTCCAAGCCTGGGACAGAAGCGCCAGCCTGCTGAAGGAGGTTGAACGCCTCAGAGAGGAGTATCGAAAGCTCGCAGCCGCCGTAGGAGGGCAAGACTCTTCGACACTCGCTTGCCTTGGTTTACGCTTTGCTTTCATGCCTGGCCATTGGGGCATGGTGTTTGGGAACGTCGGAGACGACACTCGAACTCAGCAGGGCTTTCAACATGTCGGCAGCAGTCTAAGTGTCAAGTACCATAGACTTGATGTGCCTCCGATGCTGCTTGAGCTCTGCATCGAGGTGCTCCGTTTGAGGCATTGGGGCTCTTGCTGGTCTCGAAAGCAGAAAACATGACGGCAGAGAGACAAAGCTTTTCACAGGTTTGCACAGGGCGTCCTGTGTACTTGGGCCTGTGGAGGCTTTGCCAAAGTGCAAAGCGTCTTCTTTCTGGATGCCACCGCTCTCCTCGAAGTACTCAGAATTGGCTGGACGTGTCACTTGCCACGGCAATCTCAAGACTCGTGAGCATTGAACGGCCTCTGCACCAGTAGCCGGTCTTGTTTGCAAGTCCTTCGCCTCTGTGGATCAAACCAGATGCGCTCATCCTGACATGTTTGCGAAGTCCTGCCACGGAGAATCAGGCCTGCGAGACGGACATGAAGCATCCCGAAGCTGGCAGCTGTCAAGTCCCGATGTTGCAAAACCCTACCTTTGCACCCAGAATGGACTCGGATCATCATCACAGAGCCGAGACTAGGCTGTGGGCTTCGTGCCGCACTCCAGCAATGTTGGTGCGATGGGTCGTGCACCGGAGCGATGGCTGACTTTGGAGTGCCGTGTTCAGAGGCCACGCTGGCGAGCATTGCAGTCATTGCAGCCAAGCCGCAACTGGTATGCAGTCGAAAGATGCAGACAAGACAGATCACTCGAGTCGGGGGCTGACTGACATGTGAGGTGGAGAATCCGAGTGACTGGAATAACCTGGAACGAATTCGCAGAGCCTGCGCTGTTTTCAATATCATCGACATTCGATTGGTCCAAGATACGACCAAGCCCCAGGAACGAAGGGTACATGAGCTGTTGCTGCGCGAGTGTGAAGGAATGACCTTTTGTTGACGAGCACCTTGCCGGTGTTGAAACTGCGAGGATCCACGATGTCGAAAGTGTTTGAATCTTGACGATCGGCCTGAAATTGGTGGAGCCTGCCGCCTGATTCCGAGCACATCGAAATGCCTTGATGAGACTTGGTCCAAAGGTATGGCACTTCAGACCTGACCTCCGGTTGCCCTCACAGATCAGTCGTGACAAACATTTGTTTCGGAGGAGTTGGCTGCTCACGGCTACATGTCCGTGGCAACAGCACTAGATGAATCCAGCGTGTGAGCCCGAGAGCTTTTAGCCATGTCAGAAGGTTGAAGATGAGATATGTAGCAGTCATTCAGCTGCAGCCAGGCTAACCTTTATGACTTCGACTTCGGGAAGGACAACAAGATTGCTTTGTGGTTTGGGCAGGACTCATCACTGGTTGCAGCTAGTTGAAGTGGGTTGTTCTTCAGGTCTGTACCATACATCAAGCTGCCCTCCTTCAGGAAGTCTTTTTCTCATGTTTCTTCAGGAGAAGCACGGTCTTACGGACGAAGCACTCTGTGCAGCCGCATCGCGGGGGCCCTTTCAAGTCTACACAAAGTGCATGCCTATAATCGGATTCCTTTGGGTAGCAGACTGCTCGACGCGAACTGTACCGCGATTAACGGTTTTGGTGAGATGTATTGAGGAAGATTTTCATTCCAATGTCTGGAATGGTGCCTGGCCTCGTTGTGCTCACTCGGGAATTGCGGTTGTCCCTTGCAGACGATTCGTTTGCAACCTTGCAATCTAGTCTGCCTGGAATGCAGAGGTGCAAAGCCTCAACGTGGCAGCATCTTCTTCGATCATCCTCGCAGAAGTATGTGGCCCGGTCTGGTCGGCACCTGTGTCAGGTTCTATCTAGGAGGCTTGCTTTGCTTCGAGGTCGCAAGGCAGAGGCTCTTTGACTGCCGAAGCTTACCGAAGCTGCTCTGGCGGCAAAGCGGGCTTGGCTTCATCCAGAGCCGGCAGTGTGTACCTTGGCACACGAGGTCGGCTACATGTAACATCTCGGCTCATCCTGAAGAGCCAGAGCCAGTGAGTGCCCCGACTTTGTTATGCAATCACAGCTGTGACGCGGCACACCCAGCGACACCGAGGTGGTGATAATCTGGCATCAGCTGCTTCCAGCGCTCGCATGGAGAAATTTCTTTCCATCGCCCGCCAGCGACAGCGAGGTTTGATCGTGGTTCTGGAAGATCCGGACAGGCAGGGTGTTTCGCGAGTGGCTTTTCGGGAGCCTGCGATGCCGGCAGTGTGACAGCAAGGCTGGATGCGGCAGCGATTCTTCGAGGCTGTGATGCTTTTGGAGCGTTTTGGCATACACTGAGATCGTGACAGTGAATAACGACGGGTTCTGGAAGTGCCCGAGCTCCGAGGTTTCGGAGGTTCACTTTATTTTCGAGGCGACGAAGGCCTTCGATCCTCTTGCAAACCGGCAGGTGATGAAGTCCGAAGGATCCAATCTCTGGGTCTGCAGTCGGATCTTCGAATCTGTTATGGACTGCCGCCAACATCTTGACCAACGAGGCTTCACCAGAGTCGGCATTGCGCAGACACAGAATGATTCGGGAGTGTCTTTCTTTAGTGCGCCATGCTTTTGCGACGAGAAGCTGGCGCTTTGGCTGAGCTGTAACAGCTCCTATGTTAATGCTGAACTTGTAAGCAGTTCCGTACATGTCCCGTCCGCTGCCAAAGTCGCAGGGCTGGCCATTTCAAACTTGATGGCAGTAATGCTAGCTGAAGTTACTCGTTGTCGCAAGACCACATACCCGCAAGGGTACTGGTCGCTAGGTAGCCAAGAGCAACGAGCTTATGTCCATTGGTGCCTTGCAGTTCACGCCAAGCGTCATCCGACACTGGAGCAGGCCTCGCAAGAGGCCTCAGCCAGTCCCGAGTACGAGCGCTTAGGTCGTTTACGGGCCGAGCTCAAGCGGCAGGGATGGTAGCAGTCGCCGCATGAAAACATGACGCCTCGCATTGCGGAGAAAGGCAGATCCGCGTCTGGCTGCTCAGCCCAAGCTGCCTGCAGAGACCAGATTTGCTTTTCGTGCTTGCACCTGCAACTGCGACTGCGACCATGTTGCCTCAAGCATCCTTGCGGACAAGTATCGACATTACCGAACTATGATGTATCTGTAGTCGTATGTGCACCGGAAGACTCAGAATTGCTTTGTAAACTTACATATTGGGCCGGGTCACTGCGCATGTTTAAGAAGCTGGTGGCCGCAGCTGGAGCCTTGGTCAGCGCGTTTCGCTTTGTCAGAGCTTGCAAAGCTTCCAACGCTGCCTTGCGCCCTTGCGGCCTTGGCCTTTTCTTGTTTGTTTCCCTCTCATTTCTCGTTCTCTCGCTATCTGCCCTTTCTTGTGCCTCTTCGGCGCAGAGAAAGATTCCCACCGAAGTGCTGCTGCTGTGCATGTGCTGCTAGTGGTGGCATGATCCTATCTAAACTGTCTGTGTGCATGCATCGCTTGTGCTTGCGATGCCCCTGATTCGCTGCTGCATTTGCATCCCATGCTGCTGATGCTAGGCCTAGACTTTGCACTTTCTCTTGGACATGCTTTCAGCAAATCAGTTGCATGAAAGTCGCCTTTTAACAGCTCAGGCAAGTAGAGTTTGGCCGAGGTAGGGTGCATTGTGCGGCTGAAAGGGCCCCTGTTGACTTGACACCATTGCATCCCATGTGCATTTATTTGTAACGCCTTCACCGAACGAGTCCAGTGACAAGTCAACAGTCTTCCGTCCCGAGAGGCCGGAGTCGATGACTCCAGGAATTCATGAGCTCTAAGCGGAAGGCAGAAGTTCCGTTGGAGGGCGCCACAGCATCGATCACAGTTTGTGTTCGGTGGGCATTCAGTGGAGACCTTCTGTCCGTGGTCTCTCTGTGTCCCGGGGCTTCAGTTGCTGAGCTTCTGGAATCCTTGCCTTTGGAGCATCATGAGGTGAAGCAGCTGCGCGTGATTTATCGAGGTCGAAGTTTGGAAGCCACAGAACTTCTAGCTACGTTAGGCATGGACGATCCTGCCAAGGAGGATGCTTGCGTATTTGTTGTGAGAAGGCCGCCGCGACTTGCGATCTTAAGTTCGAGTAAAGACTCTATCTTCTGGGAGCCCGAAGCGAACCGAAGAGCAAAGTCCTTTTCTGTTCGTGAGGAGGCCCATTGTGTCACGTTTTCCGAGGATGCCTCGCTTCTTCTTGCAGGCTATTCCCAGGGGGTGGCGCGGCTCTACAACGAGCATGGGCTTTGCAAGACTTTCAGCGCTCGTTGTGGAAGTGTCCTTGCCGTAGCTTTCTCATCCTGTGGCAGTTTCTGTATCACCGGTAGTGAAAATGGGACAGCCCGGGTCTGGAGCACCGAGAGCGGTGTGTGCCTGAGGCCGCTCTGTCGTCACAGTGGCCCTGTCCAAGCAGCCTCGTTATCCCCCGACCTGAGAACAGCCATCACGGGAGGCTGTGATGAACTTGCCAGGCTCTGGTGTGCCAAGACTGGTGCATGCTTGCACACGCTTCGCGGACACAGCGGCGTCGTCACCTGTGCCTCCTTTGCTGGAGTTGAGCGCGTGGTGACCGCCTCCTTTGACAGCTCAGTGAAAGTTTGGTCTTGTGAAAGTGGCACCTGTGACATGACGTTCTTGGGGCACAATGCTCCAATTCTTTCCATGGCAGTTTGTCCTGCTGCAGATTTGATTGTGACAGGCTGCTTTGATGGCCTTTGCAAAGTTTGGGTGCTGGCCACAGGTTCATGCTCGCTGACCCTTGAGGGGCATGGCGATGCGGTTCGATCAGTGGCGATTTCCCCAAATGGGAAGCATTCATTGTCTGGCGATGCGAGAGGATGTTGTAAATTTTGGTCGTTGCGGTCGGGTAGCTGCAAGCAAACTCATTTGCTACGCGGAGACCGTATCTTGGATGTCGCCCTGCGCTGCCCCGATTGAAAAAGGCTGCCTCGGCATGGCATGCTGATCTTTGCTCATGCAGGGCCTGCACTTTGTGATGGTGTGTGTGTGTGTGTGTGTGTGTTAGGTTCAATTCCGATTGCTGGCATACCTTGTCCGTTGTTTTCGAAAGGTCGCCTACTCGAAGATCGTTCACTCTGTTAAGCCTCCTTCACCCTTTTCTGGAGGCCGATGTTCGGCTGGCAGTTTCTTTCTGCTTTAATTGCATGCCAGGGTCGAACCCAGTTCCAGCCATGTGAATGCCCAAGTTGTCCATACTGTTACTGTCTTCACTGTTTGCCATCGAGTTCCACTTCTGCTTGGCAGCCTGGCCCGGAGTAGTGGAGCTCAGGACAGACTACTACAGGCATGACGGTGTGCGAATTACGTCGGGGCCTCAGAGGTTTCTGAGGCACGGAATCTGACCGCAACTCCTTCCGAGGCATGATCCCTATGCGCCTGGAATGGCAGAAAAGTATGGCATGCCGGGCAAGACGGACAACGAGGGGTTCCTTTTCAAGCAAGTTGCGGGAGTGAAACGAAAAAACAAATTTGGTGGACCTTTCGAAGTCTCCGTACAAGCTCGGCATGGGCTCATGACAGGTTCGATCCATACGCAGACACTGTCGGTCCAGGCAGGCTGCAAATACAGGAAACAGGAGTGCCTGTCATCAGAACGACACTGTCACAAGCATCAAGCGACAGCAGCGCAGGAACAAAAATCATCAATATAAGAATGAGAAGAACACGACGATCAGCGAGAGATGATTTACCAGATTTCAGGGCTTTGCTGTGTCAGGCATCTACGGCGGTATTGTCAAGCGGGATGAATCTGGCAGCGTTGTCATTGGCAGGCAACCTCCCAGTCGCAAGGCATAGTTGCAACTGCAGAGCTTGGAAGGCAGTACCAGAACCACAACCCACGGCCTGGTCCAGTCTATGCCGGAGGAGGCTACACACCGATCAATGAGGCAAGGGCCAGGCCCAAGGTTCGGGGGAGTTCCGTGTTTCGTCTTGCAGGCGCTGAGAAAGGGACCTCCTGCACTCAAACCGCTCGAGCTTCAGTGGACCACTTGCACGTTCACGCTCTCTGCCCTTCTTTTGACAAGGCTGCTTGACAAGTATCCGGATTTGGCAAACGACATCTCCACAGGAGGCGTCTGGTTCAAGTCGTCACTGAATCAAGTCGTCGTTCGCATTGACAATGCACCGCTGCACGCACTCCATCGTCCAGGTGCGACGCCACTGCACATGTGCGGCATGGGCCGTTTCCACAGTTCCTGCACTTTTACGCGATCGGTGATCTCGCAGATGCACACATGATGGGAATTCTGCGATTAGGTCGGGACAATCAGCACGCCACGGAGTACCTGATCAGGCCTCCCGGTCCCGGAGTGTGTGAAAGTCCGGATTCATGCCGTTGGAGGCGTGGTGCCAAGGCAAGGCCATGGTATACGACGTACGAGCTGCGATAAAGAGCTTGGAGATGCTTCGGTCTTCGGTGCCAGATAGAAGCTTTGGACACCTACGGAATGACTCCGCTGCACCGCATGGCCTCCAACAACCTTCCAGTGGGGGCCAGGAGCCCGAGAGTCTAGAGATGTCTGGCGTCTAGAGGCTCAGACGGAATCTGTGAAAGCCAAAGCGGCTGCAAGGCCAAGGCCCTGCTGGAGGCGGGCGCCGATCCGCAGAACACGGGCCAGGCCCGGGCCTCGGGGCTGGGCGGGGCCTGGGCGGGGACTATCCCGGGCTTCTCCTCACCTGAGGTGCGGGCCAGCCCAATGGAGATCGCGCAGGCCAGAGCCCCAGTTGAGCTGCCTTCCATTCCTTTGCAAGTATCGCATGATTCGCATGTTCAGGATTCACGGGCGAAGGAGGTGCACGACCGAGATTCGTTTGCAGACATTCGGGTTGCTTGTAGCTTGGCTCCGGCTTGCAGCTGATTCAGACGAGGTCATGTCGGTTTTGGCGGAGTGCTCCGGCAGATCAGCTGTTCCAGTAAGGTAAAGCACTTCGGCCCATGAGTGACTGTACGGTTTTGCAAAACTGAGAACCACTCGTCGAGGTTTCACTTTACCTGCACTTCACTTGCAGGTATCTTCGCAAACCACGTCCTGTCCTGTCACAGCTTCGCCTCAGTCCTCAGCAACTTACCTCGCAGCAGCACCAAACTTCTGGCGAGTGTTGGCAAGACTCCCGCAGAGGCGTGTCGAGCTCTGGCTCACAAAATGTGAACGTTGTTTACACGCAGAGGGATGCCAAGGCTGCCTGCTGTTCTGCAAGTGCCACAGACAGGACGGTATGTTGCCTGCCTTGACCTGATACGGTGGTTCGTCCCTGTTAGCATCTAAGTATTGAGTACGAACACTTGCCGTTCTGTCAGTGTGTTCTCACGCGCTGCTGTCGCCCAGCGATGTTTTCTGGTAGTTTGGGCTCCAGCAGATTTTCCAGTCATGTACCTGAGTGATCCTGAGTGTGCTTCAAGAACAGAACACTGCATTCGCCACGTAAAGAAGGTTATCATATGTATCGAAGCTCCATCCAATCCGAATGAATTTCGCTTCGGCCAAAAATAAGCAATGGGGTTCATTTCGTTTCTTACTTGTGTTTTCAGGTAAAAGACCTTAACATTGGAAAAGTTTGTTCTTTTAGTCATTTAAGGAGCTTTGTTTGTTCAATTCTCTGAGACGTGCAAAAGACCAATGAAGACCGGATGCCACGACAAGGCTTTCCGTTCAAGGTCCGTTGCCATATGTGCGAAATGTCGCCAGTTGCGGTGTGACTGGGGCCTGCACTGCCTCTTCCACCCGGTGGGTTTGATATTCAATCCAATGTTTGTTGATTGGCTGCTTGGTCAGATTTTTTGCCACTCCGGAATAACTTGACAAGTAGCGTCAGTCCAGTGCTGTAAGCGGAACCGAACGGTCTTGAAGTGCTTGGCGACGCGAAAACCTTGCTGAAGCAAACGGCAGACCATTTTATTCGACAGCTGTAAACTTGGAGCAGTTCCACCAGGTTTGTAATTAGGTTTCATGCCACCGATGCACGAGATGGCAGCGCTTCCATCGTACGTTTTAGGGCGTCCTGCTCAGGAGAGCTTGCGAAGTTAAAGATAGAGGACGTTTGCTGAGGAAGATCGCAATTTGGGCTCTTTCGAGTTTAGAAGGAAAAGCCGACAAAGACAGCCGGGGGACCGGACATCGCAAGAACCGGTCTGCAAGCAAGGTCTCGCAGGAATGAAGACGGTTGATGCATGTTCAGACAATGCTCCCGAGTCTGCTTGAACACCCATGCGTATCCCATGAGGTGTCCGGCCTAGATCTGCAAGTGCTTCCTGCTTTTGGGTATGACAGCTGGTGTTGTCCGGGATATTCGAAACTCTGTCTGCTGGAGGTTATCCCAGTGGGGTTCAGTTTGACATGCGCCGAACAGCGCTGGGATGCTGAGAAGATGCCCTCATCCCGGTGAAGGTGAAGCTGAATCTATCAACATGAATCGAAACAAGCCAGCAGGAACTTGGAGATTCCATGCAATCTTTCGTAAGGTGGCTCCAGCTGAGTGATCAAAAGACTCCGTGGTATGAGGCCGACAATGGAGATGGCCTCAGAATGCCTCAGACTGCCCTGGCAGTTGAATTGAAAAGGACCTCATTTGAGAATTGCCTTCAGGTGCGTATATCTATTGGAACCGTGGTGATGGCCAATGGTGTCTTGCATGCATTTGTTTCCAGTCCATTGCATCCTTCACGGGTGCTTTCAGCAGCAGACTTCGCCGGTCTCTGCCGTAGCAAGTACAGCTTTGAGTGTGCTAGTCGCTAGTGACTGACGCTGGCGAAGTGATCTCTCTCAAACTGGTCCTGGGCAGGTGGATTGATGCTCCGGATGGCAAGGGTGTGTATATAGCGAAGGCGCAAGCCGCACAGGTCTTTTACTGGTTGCAGTCGGCCGTATGCCGGAGAATCCTTTTGTTGACATACGAGCTTTAACAAACAGTACTATTGTACGCTTCTGCGCAACAGGCTGTTTACATCTGTTTAGCGTATTCTGCCTCTTCTGCCCAAACTTTATCTTCAGTCTTCTTCTTGCAACGCTGTCATGTAATCACTCATGACTCATGCACGCAATTGCATTGCAGGCCTCCGCTGAGAAAGTTCCCTCCGACGGTTGGAGAGCTCTGCCCGGGGTGGCAGGACCCCTTCCCTCCGCTTGGCTCTTGGTCTCTGTTGTTCCCTTCCATCACGAGAGCTATAGATGTGCCCTACAGAAGGTCGACTTTCTCGCAGGACCATCGAATGAACTCTAGCGGTCGCCTTACCGTGCCATGGGAAAATGTGAAACGTTGCCTGCCATCTTGACTTTGCTCATGCACGGGCTGCGTTCAAGGCATTGAGACAAGTGACCGGTGGCTCAGCAACCTGTACAGCGCCACAGCAAGCTCTTTGATTTGAGAGCAAAGTTCGTGTGCACCAGCCAGGTAAATTTTCATCAGTGCGAGCGCACAAACTGTACAGTATCTTTCAGCTTGGCCAGAGCTGCGCAGCAGGCCCAGCGGCCCTGTGATTTTCGAGGTGACCCCCGACCTCCTGCTGACTTGTATGCGACGAAACACGCATGTTGGCCCTTCCACTCAGTCGCATCAGTTCAAATCCACTCACTTCACAGCTCAAATCCCAGACGTGCGCCAGAGGATAGAACAGTGGTTTATCGGTTCTGATGACCACCCGGGGAAATGCTCTACTTGTTGCTGCACGCAATCGCTTTCTTGAAAAGCGAAGGTTGCTAGAAGCGGCATGTGCGCGTGTGCTGGGCTCGATTAGAGCTTGAGTCGAGAAACATGTGGAGGGCAGTTGCCATAATTTGTGCCACTTCGGGATTTCACGCTTATTCTGTGCAGGCCGCTGTGAGCTGTGAGGTTTGAAATGCAAGGACATGCAAAGCACGCGGTGCAGGCACTTGGAGAAGACCATGCTGCAGGTCTTGCTGAGCCATGTGCTTTGGTCTCAGAGTCTGGAGACAAAGTGTGGGATGCTTGAGCTTGGAGCCCTGCTCAGGCCAGTACGAGGTGAAATGGACCGGGCTGCACTGGCTGTACATAGCACAATGCTCGAGTTCCGGCCCCGGATCTTCTGCACAAGTTCTTTTCTTTTGTCTCGGGCTCTGAGACTCTGTGCCTCAGGCACGGCTTCGTGTGCGTCGGAACCTCCGAGCCGAGCAGCTCCACACAACCCGTGCCCCACCCATCTTCGGAGTTGTGATGATCAGTTGTGATGCTTGTTTACACCTGCACGTGCACATCGTCCTAGTGGTAAACTGATGCCGACGATATGGCAGATGGGGCATCCTATGATCGTGAGGTCATGACCGCATCTGCCGATGGCCGGTGTCTCAGAGCCCTTGGCGGAGAGATTTTCAAAGGGTAGTTCGTTAGATACAATATAGGCCTCTCATGGCCTCTCCGCTTTCATCCCAAGTGAGGCAGTGCAAGCCTACAAGTGTTACCGCCTGGCTGGAACAGCTTTGAAGACAGCTATGCGTCCCAGCCTAAAGACAGCATACCTCGGATGTAGACTGGGTGATCACATGTGCTGTTTCTGTTGCACCAAGCAATTTGCGTCTCCTGCCTTTCACCGTCTGCTGTCTGCTGTTACTTGCCAAGATGCAGATCATGCAGGTGGTACGTTCTTGACGGCATTCATGCATTCTTGCTAGCCAAAACTGTCTAGTGCAGCCCAATTCCCCAGAATGGATGAGCTTGTACGGTAGAGATTACAATGATAGGTGATATGTTTCATTGGAGCCCAGCTTCAACACGTAGTCCCTTCATGGCAACGACGACATTTGTGGACGAAGTGCTTCGCAATCCGCCCGATCCACGTGTTGCAGAAGTAGCCGTGGCACTGTGCGATTCTTCCTGGGAAGTTCGGGCCGATACGCTCCAGCAACTGTTAGGCTTAGAAGGGCCTGAGCTTGCACCATATGCAGAGGCAGTGTTGCCTCTGGTCGCAGACCCTGCCTCCGATGTGAGGCGGCGAGCATGCGAAATCATACAGAAGCTGGAAGTCCCAGTCTTGCAGAACCTGAAGGATGTCCCAGTAGATTCTCGGATGTCGTTTCTTCGTAATGGCAAAGCTTGGAAGTGCCTCTGTGCGTCTGGATCGATGCCTGTACCGCCACAAGCACCTGCCCATCCTGCAGCTTTCATGCACGATCCTCCAAAACGGCACGAAGGCGAAGACTCTTGGCCTCCGCCGGCGTGTGGCTTCGACACGCCCGATACACTCAGACATCGCCAGATACTGGCACCAGAGGATGGCAGGTTACAAGGTGTACCCCTTGAAACGGTTGACTGGCGGGGAAATTTGATGCATCCGGCAGACTTGTGGGAGATAGCCAAGAACGAGGCTAAGGAGAGCCACTGGTATCACTGGAAAGTGAGGGATGCCCTTGCCTTTACAGTACGGGATCTTCAAGGAACAGCTCTGGTTCGGCTTCTCACAGACTCGGAGGTGGCGGTGCGTGCGGATGCTTTGGTCGCCCTCAGACGGCTTCCGTCCGATCTCTGGGCACACCACACACGTCGTGTCATTCAGAGATTGACGGATCCGATAGCGGAGGTCCGGCTGGCCGCGCTGTGTGCCCTCCAAAGGTTGGGCTCTTCCGAGCTGGCGTTTCAGGAGCGTGTTGTGGTGTTGCATTTAACTCGTGCATAGGGTGAGGTGCTTTGAAAGGCAGGTTGAGAGTACCGCAGTTGAAGCCCTAGATTTCTAGATCTCCACAGGCTCCACACTTGGTGCCAAGTCTGCATGATGAAGATGCAGAAGTCCGAGCAGCTGCTCTGTTGACCTTACGGTATCTGAAGCCAGAGCAGCTGGAACGCTGGGCAGAGCAGGCCAGGCGGCCACGAGCCCATTGTCTGAGTCTGTTTCCAATTCCGGATGCTGACCGATGTCAGGTGCTGCGATGCAAACTGGATCCCAACTTCGAGGCAGCGCACGGGGTGCGGAGTGGAGCCCTTCAATGGGGGAGTGCTCTTGTGCCCCTTTGTGCCCCTTTGAACTGGAACTCCTCAGGTGCGAGAGGCTGCTCAACGAGCTGTGGAGAGGCAGGCTTCAGATCAAATCGGAAGTGTTGCACAGAGCGGTCGTCATTGGGCCAGGCTCTCGCCGAGCACAATGGCAGATTTGGCCTGTGCTGGCCTGCCGAAGGACGGCATCTTTAGGTACTGAGCCGCCTTAAAGGCGACTTAAAGCCGCTTGAGATTCTGATCATGTGAGCATGGCTTGTGCGCTCTGGGAACCAGCCGCGCTCCTGCCGTGATTTCGTGCAATTTCTCATCCAGCCTAAGGCTGAGATGAGGATTCCAAAGCCCGAAGCCGCTTTTCTCGTTTGCGGGGCCCTTCTGGGAGACCTCAAGGTCTCACCGGCAGGATGTGCTCCACTCTGCTCCGCTGCGCGATCTGCTCCTGTTGGGTCAGAACTTTGCCTCGCAGCCAGGGCCCAGAGCAGAGTGCTTCCCGGGAACGGCTTTCACGTGCCGCAGGTTCTTCTACATGCACCCCTTTCGACAGAACGAAGACTCCTTCACAGCCGGAAGCTCTGTGAGAGCTCCCTAAGCCACACCGGCACGCTCCTGGCCCCGAGGTGAAGGCCGTGGGGATCGGCAGCAGCCTTGCTGCAACTTGGCAGTGCAACGCAAAGAGATGCTCAAACTCAAGCATTGCTTGGCGGCCTTTTGCCCTTCTAGGTGCATGCGGCATCCTCGGCGCCAAATGCAGATTTGCTGGAAACGAAGCTTAGCGTGAGCCAGGAAGTCTGGGCGTTTTGAGATGGCAGTTGCGAGCGCCTGCAGGATATCGATAGCAAAGGGATCACCGTCCTAACCTGCCAGGATGCCGTCGACAATGATCCGGTCTCTGTCGCTGCTCGTGCAAAGGCATGCGGCTGCATGCTGGTGACAGCTGCAAAACAAATCTGCAGGCGTACCTTACCAGAGCTGTTGGCTGTTGGGAGGCCTGGCAAGAGAAAGTGGCAGTCGGGGTGGCGCAGAGGCCACGAAAACTACAACGAAACTTCGGCAATGTTGCAAGGGGTGACGACCCGGAGAGGCTGCTCAGCAGACACAACTCGACAGCCCGGCTGGGGACAGCATTGGAGGCCCGTTGCTAGAATGCTAGAAAAGGATTGCGGCTTCTGTAGTTCGGTCGACTTTGGGTTAAAGTTCGTTACTCGTAAGATGTCACAAGACCTGACAGGCAGCGCCCTCCGAGAAGGCCGCGGCCTCAACCGGATGGTGATACGGCGATGCGCATACGAAGCCGCGAAGGGCACTGTACGCTCATGCAGTCGAAGGCTTCTGACACAGGCTCTCGTGATGTCTCGTGGCTTCTCAGTGGCTTCTCGCGGGCTCAAAAACGCGGCTCTGGGCTCACACGCGGCTAGAAGGTGCGCGCTTCAGGACTCCAAGTCGACGTAACCTTTTTTTTCGGATTTGCGCTTCTTCTCTGCCGAGTAGAGGCCCCCCCTCGCATCCTCTCCGGTTGCCAACCCTTGGCATCCCTTGGCTGCGGGAGATTGAGTTGACTTTGAATTGGAAGACGCGGCTAAAGTTCTGGAGGCCGGCACCAAGCGCCCGGCTCCCGAGGAGAGCTCCTGAGCGCTTCTCCGCATCGCATCGCGCATCGCTTCGCTTCGCTTCGTCGGCGTCTGCTCGGAGAGCCGAGGAGCCTCGGCGGGAGTCCCCTCGGCACGAGCTTTGGACTTAGCGGACGTAGCGCGGCTTACCCTGTCTTTTTTGATTGCAAGTACTTTATGCCTAGCGGCCTAGCTGGCAAGAATTCGGTTTTTGCAGTTGGCACCTGCAGGGATTATAGGCACACCTCGCATGGGCACCGGGATCCAATCGCAGTTTTGGCCCGAGATTACGCCGCCGCTTCCCTTGCCAATGCGTCCACGAGAGACCGGCAATGCATGGACAGCGGAACCTGCCACTTTCTTGAAAAGCATGAGCGATTCGCGTTTCTTAGCATTGGTGGTGCTTTGCGCTGATCGCATCCGAGGTGAGTTCAGGTCCCTGGGCCCCAGAAGGCAGCTTGCGCAGAGTTGCGTCCAGAATGCCACCAGCGTCGCCAGTATAGAATTTGGGAACTTTGCTGTCGGTTAGAGCGAATGCTCCTTGGAAGCGAGCTGCAGCTTAATTTACGTCGTACGTTGGGTCCAATCTTAGGCAATCTCCGCAGCTGATGCAGCTTCTGTTGCTCCTGGTGCTCGCGGGACTATCTGGGGCACAAGACATTCAGATGTGAGCCTCATCTGACAGGTTGAGAGCTAATCAGCAGGCCATGCAGTTACCTAATGATGCAGCAGATCGCCAGCTCCATGCCCCATCCTCTCCCCAGGTGAAAATATTCGAGATGATTTGGGCGCAGCATCCTGTGCTCAAGTGCTGGAAGGAAATGCGAAAGGCTTCCGGCTCACTGGAACGATGAGCGATCCGCTGAGGCACGCAGGCTCAAGTTAGGAAGCCTCCTCGTCACTGCAGCTTGCTGTTTGAGTAAAGACGTTGTCATTGTTATCAACATTGCCGTGCAGCTGTTTCCCAGTTTTCACGAAGCTTCATTGCACAGTCGTGCGCAGAGTCTTGAAGAAAGCCAAATCCTGCTCTAAACCCCCATCTGGGTTTTCAATCAGCATATTGGCTGCTGTTCGACTTTGCAGCACGTGATGCGACGTGCCGAAATTGCCGACCTTGTTTTCTCTTTCTGAATCGTTGTGCTGTCTCACTCTCAGGTTTGCAGGCCTGGGTTTCGATGACAACATTGCCGGCGGCGAAACGCCTGGAGCGCTAAATGTATGCATGTTGGCAGCATTTGGCGATGGTGGTGTCATCCCGGCTGCCTGCGTACCAACAGTCGGAACAACTGCTGACCAATGGGATGGAGTGCCGGAGATGCACTACTTTGGAATGATTGGCTTTGATTGCAGCTTCAACCACGCCGCTTACGCGGTGGGTGAAACCATTGACTGGAATTACCCTACAGGGAATACTTGTGTCGGTGATGGGGACCTGGATGTGGGACTGACGTCTATCAAGTGTATGTTCGAGTCAGCGTGCGAGCTGGGGACTACAACGACTACGATGGCAGTTGTAACATCCACGACCTTTACAACCACTCAGACTCAGTCTACGACCTTGACAGCCACTCAATCTACGACCTTGACAACCACGCAGTCTACAGTTTCAACAAGCATGACAAGTTCGAGTGCAACGAACACAGTGACAACGACTGCGGTGACGACCACTCGAAGTTCCACCACCACAGCGACCTACACTGCAACCACCCGCACTGCTACAACTACAGGTACCGGCACCTATACAACTGCAACCACCACATACACAACTGTAACAGTTACCAGAAGCACCAGGTCCACTACTTCCACATCATCACTTGTTTCTACGAGCAAGACTACGACGAGTGCAACGGCTTCTCTCACTCAGACTCGGACAACCGTATCAACCACTCATACAAGCGTTACAACGTCCTTGACGCGCACCTCTGCCACCACCTCCATCAGCACCACTACGCTTACGGCTTCCACCACCTTTACGGCTACAAGTGCAACCGTTACCGAAACAATCACCAACACAGCTACTGGCACTGCCACAGTCACGGTCACCACTGAAACCTTGACGGCTACGGCTGTGACCTCCACCAGCACCACGACTGCCACCTCCACCGGCACTGCCACCAGCACCGTGACGAGCACTGGTAGTCCCGATATCAACGTCACGGGACGTTTCTGCCCGGAGTCACCCATGCTGCTTGGATCCAAATCAGGACAGACGACAAGCTGTCTCTTTGCCAGCATGCAGATTTCCGAGGATTGCAAACAGCGCCAGTTTGGCTCATTGTGCTGGAACACCTCACGACGGCGTCTGCGATGTGGAGTGCTCCGATGGATTCAGCAGACCCGGACTTGCAGATCCATGGTTGCAAGAAGTTGCAAATCTAGCTGCTTCGGCTTTCCAAAGGTTTCACCATGTTTTTTTCTTTTTCTCGCGCTCTCTCTCTCTCTCTGTCTGTGTCCTTGGAACCAGCCTTACTTGGATCTGAGCGTGGGCCCGAAGGCTTCCCGAAGGAAGCCTAAACCCCCAGGAGTGGAAACAGGTGCGCGCTTTCAATGCCGTCACAGGCAGCTATACTCCCAACCCTCAAGCAAGTGGAATTTCCGCAAGGATGTCGTCCTTGCACTTTGCCATGAGGGACAGTGGCGAATCCGAGGCCAGGAAGTGTTGAATCGTGTTGCTAAATAGAATAGCGTGGTGAGTGATTGGATTCGTATATATAAGAAGAAATGGGGGATTTGTAGCAGTCGGCGATCAGTAAGCATCTCCGAGGCGAATGCCTCCCAGAGGGTGCGAATGTCACGCAATCTGGTGCGGCCCAAGTCTTGCTTGATGTCTCCGTGGACCTTCCGGAGCTGACCAACTTCAGCACCTTGCATGGGGGATATTGCGTAGCCTTCTTGCTGAGGAGGTGTACCGAGAGCAGCCCAGCAGTTCCAAGGCGATGGCTATTACTGGGCACGAGCACATGAAACGGCTTTGTATTGGGCATTCGCCAAGACACTCGGGGTGCATCCAGCTGAACTGCGCAACTTGGATGAAACTGTGTGTTCTTCACACATCACACGAATCTTGGTGCCAGCGATGTGCCGCCAGGAGGTTCTAGGATGCTTCGAGGAGCTTTCAGAGATCCATTCCGATTCTCGCAGAGGGGATGTGCTGAAGCGCAGGAAGTGCATATCCCCCAGAGCTCGGCGCATTTTGGCAAAGCCCAACCTCACGCCTGCGCTCACCCTAAGCTCAGAAAGACCAACACGCTTTGAAGCAGAATCATCAAACGGCACACCTTAAACCCGAAGCTCCAAGCAAACGGGCGTGATGAGTTGAAGGTCCTGCCGGGCTTCAGAGAACAGCAGCAACAAGCCAGTATTGGACCAGCATTGGGAGTGGTAGCAGCAGGAGGAGCAGGATGGAGGAGGAGTAGTCGCAGTCGCAGTCGCAGTCGCAGTCGCTGCTACTACTACTACTACTACTGCTACTACTGCTACTACTGCTACTACTGCTGCCTGCTGCTACTACTACTACTACTATTTTTACTACTACTACTGCTGCTACTACTACTACTACTACTACTACTACTAGCAGTAGGGTCCATCACCCTCGTTTGCCGCACTTCAGGGGTGACTTTCGGGGTGGGGTGGGGCGGGGGCTTAATGACGTCCACTTGGTCACCATCACCGTCATCCTCTTCATCAACACTGCATGCTCATCGTTTAGGTTCCGACACTATCCGACACTCACATCATCCACAAATGAGGTTAGAGCTTGACGGTCTCTTTTGGCAGCCTGGCTCGGCTTCTGGGGTTGAGAGAGCTCCAGTGCAGCCATGCCTTTCGGTTCTAGGCTATGCACTCCCACATTTTTGGAAGCGTTGAGCACCTTTGAGAAGTCTTTGAGAAACCGCTCAGAAGCCTTTGAGATACCTTTGAGAAACCCGGACCAGTGCAAGGGCTTAGGCGCTGCTTGGTCCAAGCGAGGGGTTGCGAGTGCCACGGCATGCCATTCCAGATCGGAGAACACCCCGGCGTGCAGATTGCAGAAGTCCAGTCTGCCGCCGAAAGTCTTAAAGCACTTGAAGTGTTTGGCCCGATCAAAGATTGGCAAGCGCACTGTAGGGGTGATAACCTGTGCGACACACAAGCCTTGTCAAACAGAGCCTTCGAAGGGGAAACAAACTCGGAAGGTGCAGTCGTCAGGAGACCGGTGCTCACATAGATGCCTTGAGTTCTATGCTTGTGCAGAATGCACCGAGTTTCGAAGCAGTCTTGCGAACCTTCTGCGTCTACGCAGATGATGTGGAAGACACGCTTGCGCGGAACATGGCGTTCCAAGGCACGTCGTGGCTGCTGCCGCCGTAAAAAGACGCATTTGCCAGAGAAAGGAACAGAAAAAACTCGATGCTTTCCCGAATTTCAAAACAAAAAACATATAATCCAGGACACCCAAATCGTCCTGTCTTCGAATGCAAATGAAGCGTTCAAACCTGCATGCACTTTCGTGCACAGCTCCAGAATGTACTTAAAACCCAGGCGAAAACACAGTTTTCGCATAATCGCAGTCTGCATGTTGCAATGAAACACACCAATGCAAACCCGTTTGCCGCGCCATGTGCGCGGCAAACGAAGTGAATGGAGCCTAGCAGTAGTAGTAGGAGTAGTAGTAGTAGTAGTAGGAGTAGCAGTAGCAGTAGCAGTAGCAGTAGCAGTAGCAGTAGCAGTAGCAGTAGTAGCAGTAGTAGCAGTATTAGCAGTCGTAGCAGTAGCAGCAGCAGCAGCAGCAGCAGCAGTAGTAGTAGTAGTAGTAGTAGTAGTAGTAGTAGTAGTAGTAGTAGTAGTAGTAGTAGTAGTAGTGGTAGTAATAGGAGTAGGAGTAAGAGTAAGAGTACGAGTAGTAGTAGTAGTAGTAGTAGTAGTAGTAGTAGTAGTAGTAGTAGTAGTAGTAGTAGTAGTAGTAGTCGTAGTAGTAGTAGTAGTAGTAGTAGTAGTCGCAGAGGTAGTGGTAGTGGTAGTGGTAGTGGTAGTAGTAGCAGTAGCAGTAGCAGTAGCAGTCAGTAGCAGTAGCAGTAGTAGCAGTAGCAGTAGCAGTCAGTACCAGTAGCAGTAGCAGTAGTAGCAGTAGTAGCAGTATTAGCAGTCGTAGCAGTAGTAGCAGCAGTAGTAGTAGGAGGAGGAAGAGGAGTAGGAGTAGTAGTAGTAGTAGTAGTAGTAGTCGTCGTCGTGGTAGTATTAGTAACGAACATAATCATAACGAACACACGCAGAAGGTTAGCAGGAGACTAATGCTCCGGTCTTTGATGATTGGTGTTGCTATGAGTGGGCTTGCGGTGCTGCTGATATTGCAGCTGCTGGCAATTTTTCATTCGATTTGATGTTGTTCAGTAGCTGTGGCAACGGCCAAGGCATCGAACTTCTCCAAGCGCGTGGGTTGGTGCGTCGGCTGCTGCTCTCACTGTCGCACGTGGCCTTTACCGTTCGTCTTACTATGCTGCTGCAGGCCTGGGCGTGTCAGTGCATGTACGAGAGAGAGGAAAGGGACGTTTGTTTTTGCGTGTCGTTTTTGGGCTGCTGACGGCCGTTCAAGGTGAATGTATCCAGAGCTGCGATGGAGCAGGCTGCTCAGGTCGCCTTGCAGCCGAGAGCAATCCTGTTGGTGACTTTGCTTTTGCAGCTGTTGTGCCAGGAGCTTGCTGGCCTGTCTTCGGAGCCCCGGTTGCAAAACACCTGTTCGTTTCGAGCATGCTAGCTTTGGGGTTGTAGGCAGGTGCTGCTTGAAACCATTTGATGCTAGATACAGTTCTCAGTTCTTGTCCGTCCTTGCCTTATCAGGTTCCCAAGATGGCCGTGTTTGAGGCTGCCCTCCTGGAGGAGCTTGACATATCCAACCAGACAGACGGCAATATCTCAGCTGCCTCCTCGGTAGCGGATTTGATGATGATCGATGACTACACGCTGGCGCAGCCATCGTGGTACGTTTCAAACTGGGATGTGTCTGGTTGTGACGACTACTGTGCCAGCGGTTCTGGCGGTGGTGGCCAACAGGTCGGTGAGGTGCTCTGCAGTCGTGGACTCCGCTTGGCATGTGAAGGCCTGTCGCTCCTGCCTCCACACTAGCCGCAAAGACATGGAAGACCTGAAGTCATAACGGTGATAACGTGCTCAGAATCGTATACTGCCTTGATATAATCCTCGTCTTTTCGCATTGAACTTCAAAGGCGCTTACCACGGAGTCCCAGGTCCCATGCAGTCCATGGCCGGTCCGCAGCCGTCCGCCACGCGAAGCTGTCCGCCCTGTCCTCCCCAGGCCTTGCTTCGGCTTGGATCAAAGGAACAATCAAATTAAGAGCAAAAGAAGTTGCTGGAGAATGCCAGGTTTTAGCAACCTTTGCGTTTTTGACTTGGGATGCGCTTCGGTACAGAGCTAGGAATGGGGAAGGATTACTTAAAGCAGAGTGAGAGCAGCGGGCACAAGCATCATCGACCTGTTGGAAACCGCTGTCTCATCCAGCATGCAAGCAAACATGTTAATGCAAGGGCATACACGTGCGTGCATGTGCGCATATATATTGTATATTTGTATATGTCTATACAAGTAGTATACACATACATATACATTTACAAATATGAATATATATATATATATATATATATATATATATATATATATATATATATAATGTACTGAGTATGCATACATGTATGTATGTGTATGTGCAACTATCTATCTATCCATCTATCTATCTATCTATCAGTGTATATATATATATATATATCAGAGCTACATGTGACCTATCTCATGTTCCATATCTGTATCTATGTCGCCGTTTGTCTCTCCGTCCGCCCCCATCCATCCATCCATCCATCCATCCATCCATTCATCCAGTCATCCAGTTATTGATCGTCTACCTATCTACCTACCTAGCTACCTTCCTTTCCTTCCGACCTACCTACCTACTTCTCTGTCTCTCCGTCTGTGCGTGGTTCTGTCTACCTTCTGTCTGTCCATCTGTGTAACTGTCCACCTACCGAAGACTAGCTAGCTGAACAGACGGAGGTGCCGGAGGCTTTCGGCATGCCGATGTGGGCCCTTGGAAGTGCCGGAGTTCTTGGGTGCTGCTGCTGCACGTGCTTCGGACGCGCTGAGCTGCGAGTGCAGCATTCCTGGACTTGTGAATCTTAACTCTCCATGCATCCCATTTTTGTGCAGGTTATGTGGCATCTTCCTTGCGTATCGCTGCCTTCGGGCTGTGGCCAGGGCAATGCCTCCAGAGCCTTTCTCCGGAACGAAGCACCTCAAGGACATGAAGGATATCGAGGCCCCGCGACGACACGGCAGAAGGCAGCACGTGTACTCACGAAATTTGCGCTCTCCTTGTCTCGGTCTGGTCTGAGGCATCCTATACTGTCCAGCCTTCTCCTCAGACTATGATGCCGCCTGCTGCCCAAAGCTCAGTGGTCACATGTCCTTGGTCGTTCAAGCAAGGCCTGCCGTGCGGCCTATCAAGTCGAGGAAACGTACAGGCAGGAGCCGTCACGTCTTTCTTTATATTTATTGTATCTCCACATCTGTCTGCCAGTCAACTTCAACGATGCCGAGCCGGGCTTTATGCGCCGCCTGAGCACTTTCCGTACCAAATCCATGGCCACTGATGCGCCGCTGGCCTTAGTCGCCTTAGTCCCTCTCACATGGACATGCCGCATATTCCCTGGTAAGCAAGGCCAACGTGCTCGAAACTAAGGCAGTCTGAGGAGATGAACGTGGAAGAGACCAAGACGCATGTTGTCTGGACTCTCGTCAGACATTCTCGGATCGCGTTTCCTTGCTTGTCACCCTGCTAGCATGTCAGACTTCGAGGAATGTGGATATGTCGCAGCTCACGACCATGTTTCCGCAGACCACTTCAAAAAGCGACAGGCAAGAGCAGGACCAGCGACTTGTCCTCATTCGTCTCTTAGCACGGCACTCCAGCACACTTCCTCCTTGCTCCCACCAATAAGACCTACAATTACTGCAATTAGTTTCATGCCACAGTTTAATTAGTTCGCAAGGTGACAGTTTGGAAGGGTTTCATGAAAAAAGGCACCCTGAGACTTTGCGAGAGTGATGACAGGCCAGGCAGATCAAGCCTTCGAGATGCATCCAGTCCAAAGCGCAGCAATTCGCGTGTCATTCAGCACGCCTCTTTCACGCCTGGGTTGGGCTCTGACGAACCGTCTGCGGAGAGTCCTTCTCACAAGCCGCTTGCTGGAAATACAAGGCTTCTTTGCCATTCTGCCGTCATTGGCCCTTCCAGTTGCTTGTTGTGGCTGTGGTGTGTTAGCATGTTGCATCATGTTACGCGTAGCAGGCGTAGCATGTTGCAGAGCCCGATGGGAGCGAGCTCCAAGGCAGACGTCGCCATCGGCAGCAATCTCGAGACAGCGCTCCGGCACACTGCTTGATCGCTTTGACCTCGTGGGTCCGACGGAGACAGACATCACCCTGGAGTGGTCAAAGCTGTGAGCAGCTGTGTGTAGCCATGCTCAGACAGGAGCTGGCCACAATGTTCTTGCTTTCCTGTATCTTTGAAGCTTGAGGTCAGGTGTTTCGGTGCAGAGATGCAGGACCTGAAAGTTCGGTTTCACCTGAACTATGTTATTTCATGTTCCTGGCGACTTTGGATTCCTAACTTTGCAATCTCGTGCAAATGAACTCGTTCTTGAACATCTCTTTGACAAGGGGCAAGATGCGTATGGTATAATGGGGATGTAAAGTGTGCAATTGCGAGCAGGAGGGTGCCTTGCTTCAAAGGCAAAGGCATTGTGCTCCCCCAGCTTTGCATGCATATTAGGCCGAGCAAGTTCGAGCTGTTCTTCGTTGTACCGCCAGTCCGCATCTGCGCTTCCACTGTACAGGTCCAGCTGCTCACCTAAGAGTGGGCTGGCCCAGCTTTACAAGCATTGTCTAGTGTGGCTGCTGGCAGAAGCGCTTCGATGCGTGGCAATTGCGCTAAGCATCGCACTCACGAGCAGTGTGGATGCCGTCCTGTCATAGGTGTCTTCTTTCGCTTTAAGCTGTGGACACATTCGTGGGCCTGGCTGTCTAGATGCAAGCCCTATTGCTATTGCAACGCGAGCATGCAGTGTGTAGCTTTCGAAGGATGTCGAGGGAGGAGGTTGAATCGTTTCGCATGCTCCGGAGCTTCCGGTAGGTGTTGCTTTTCCAATCGGCTCACCGTGGCAGTTTTCTGGCATGGAGACTAGCGCTGGCCATCAGAATGAGCAAGCTCTCTTTGTGTTTACTGCCGCCATGCCAAGCATGCGCTGGCAAGAGTTAGTGCCGCTGCATGGATGCGTGCGAGGAGTGCCCTACCTGCATCGTCCGTGCAAAAGATTGATGGTCTTTCTTGGTGGTTTGCCATGGCGTCAGCCCAAACAAGCGACAACAAGCTGTTTCTTGCACTCTTCTTGCATCTCTGCCCCAGGGAACGGAGACCATCTCAAGGCCAGCAGCAAACAATAGACCAGAGATGGAATGCTTCGGTCGCTGTTTCAGGGCTTTGGAGCGCAATTGCATCTGAGCCCTGGTTGAGGTATTCCGCAGCCGCCGTTGCTCCAGGATCCCTTCAGACCAGGCCAGCTGCAAAACACTCAGGAGCGGGTTTGCTTCCTGCGGCCTTTGTGAGGATTTCTGGGCGATCGTCCCATTTGGTGGACGCTCGTCTTTCCCAGAAATTTGCCTTTGAAACCGTCGCTGGAACGCGTCTACCGCCCAAGGATGCCAGAAGGGGGCCTCCTTGGACCACGGCATCCTGCGTGGGGCCAGGCCGTCGCATTCCGTCGCATGCCGTCGCGGTCTGCGCGGCTGTTTATCCCGTTAGTGGTCGGTCGGGTGGGGGGAGGTGGCACCAGGCAGATCCGGAGGCATGATGCCAAGGCAGGGCGTGCAATGCAACGGCCCTGCTGTGCAGCGGACTTCGTAGATTTCCTCCGGCTCAGATTTGATGTGATTGGGCCGGGCGAGCCGGATCCAGACCATTTCGTGTGCTTAGCCGAGTCTGATGAAGCTTATGGCTATTGCTGCACTGCGTTTTGCATCTCCGAACTCAGAGGCCCGGTGGAGTTCCAGGATTCCCAGGAGGAGGCAAAGCGTGGCAGTCCCTTCGCCGTGTCTTTGCCGACGACCGGCCCAGGGCTTCCTACCTTCCACGGTGGACGGCCCGGCGGTAGAGGCTCCAACAGAAGCGTTAGCAGCTAGCACCAACTCCAGCTGGTGGGATCTCGGCCATTTCACTGCAGCAAAGTGTGAACAGAACCGCCGCGAGGATCGGGGATGGACCCCGATGGAGTCTTCTTCATGTGAGAAGACCTGGCTGAAGTCTGTGCCTATGCGCGCCTGTAAACTGCAACTCCTTGTTGGACAGGCAGCCTGGATTAGGGATCATCGTGCCTCCTAACGTACAGCATGCCAGCGTGGCACAAAACTTGCAGTCACGTCTGTGCCCGCCTTCGGTTGAAGCCCTGGCAAACGCGCAAACTGCCGAAACGCCTGAAACTGCTTTTGGTCCTACGGCTTTCATTGCAGCCGTTTCATGTTCAAGACATTTTGCTTCTTTAGTTATGGCCTGCGACTCGGAGAAGCTGAGAAATGCCGAGAAGCCAAGCCGGAGTGGGGAGCAGATTGATTGACGAAGTCCAGGCGGAGACCTGACCCTCAAGCTCGCAAACTGCCAATCTTTAAGGCCAGGCTGGGCTGTGGTGGGGCGGCAGGGAACGTGAGAAGTCTAGTCTTGCTTCTGGTTTTGCAGGACCTGGCAGTGAATGACGAGCACAGCAAGCTCTGTGCACAGGGCTTGGCTGAGCTGGGAGATTCCTCCTGTGCAAATGTCTCCAATTGAGGTACAGGCTCGTCCATGCCCGACAGACTGTGGAGGCAGCCAAATTCACCACGCTGCTGAAGCAGGCCCCGTCCAGAGTCTAACGTTCAAGATACCACAGAGGATTCTGTGCCACATGCAAGGAGACGTTGACGTTTGAAGAAGTTGACTTCTCTCAGTGCAATCTCACATCTGACACCTTGAAAGTGGTGCTCGGCTGACGAAGCAACTTGAGTTTCCTGAGCTGCTTACTGCCTCAAAGACATGCATCCGGGCTGCCAAAGGTGCTTGAAATATGCAAGCGATGTCCGAAGTTGAAAGTACTCAAGCCTGCCTGACCTGTGGCTTACTTTGGCGGCGGCTTTAAGTAGTATCTTACATTCAATGGCCTGCCAGGCTTTTCAAAAACCAATTAGACGATTCAGGCGCAGAGGGCCAGGCTCTAAGATCTATCACTGACAGGGAAAGCCGCGCGAGACAGCTAGACGGCCAGACAAGATGTGCCCGAGGCCTTGCCGAAATGCTTGGCCGGAAACCTGCGATAGAGGCACTCCTCTCAGAGTGGTCTAGGTTTGCCCGTCGCTCGCTCTTTGCAGTGGCAATTTTACCGGCCTGTCTCAGGAGGTTCACCTGTCGCACAACCTTTTCACAGCCGCTGGGTGCAGATGCCTGGTCGAAGCCTGCGTGTGACTCCCAGCATCTCCACCCGAGATCCGGTGTGCATACTGCACAGCACCAGGGAAAGAAGCACAACAGTTAATTACTTCCTTGTGTGCGAAGGAGAAGGTTCGCCCCGAGAAATGCCAGCCTCTCTGGCTGAGACTTGGCTTGGACCTCGGTCGCGGTAGAAGTCGCGAGCATAGGGACAACGTGCCGCTCAGAGGTGTGCAGACAGCATTGTCTAAGAGTGTTGTGTAGAGCATACTGCATGCCGAGAACAAAACAACGTTGCGGATCCAGAGACGGTCTGCGACCAATTGGTGAGAGACTTTAGTGCCGGGGCCTCAGCACGCCTGCGCATGCCTGTCCCTCTCCACTACTGGCGATCCAAAGAGACTGCACGCAATGAAATGAGCACATGGTGCAACACTTGCCGGCATCAAGTAGTTGAACAAGAAGATAGCTTCTTGAACCCAGTATCCATCAAAAGTTCCCACGGAGATCCGCAGAGGACTTAAAGGTAGTCAAGAGCAGGCAGGATGACCAAGCGAGAAGTTCAAGAAATAGATGTTCTGTGTTGGCTGGTTTCGCTTGTAAATGCCAGTCGGCTACAGTGCAAGGTGCCGCATTCATTGCAGATTGCTCCCAGTATTGGGGCCGGACTTCGGATGGACAAGTGGCTAGCCAATCGACGCCGTAGTCGATCCGATACCCGAACAGATATGGTGGATACTTATCAAGTCACGTGGTGAAGCACTACCCATTGGATTGATGGAACCAGTGACGCCTTCACCATGGGCCATTGCTAAAAAGCACGGTTACCTCTGACAACTACTATCGTGATTACCTTTACTGTCATTTTACCTGTTATAGTTCTTGCTGCTCTACTGAATGTCACACAAGAGCACAGCGATACCTCTCATGAATTTTTGACCAGACCCTAGAAACTATAAAGCGGTAGATCTCCACTCCATCGGCGAGTCTTAATCGACTAGTGGTACATAGTGGTACATGTCTTCCGGCTTGTCGTCAGGTGTTCATCAAGTCTTTCTATATACGGTCTTGTGCTTATAAATTTTGCCGCTTTGTCGAAGATACACCCATATAAGAAGCAGCTCACAGACGAGAGATGTCACTTGTGATTAGTCTAGTTTGCTTCTCCGCATCTGTGCAAGTGCTTTCCGCACCATACTTATCATGTCAGCACAGGGTAGTCAGGGATATACCTACGTACCTGCATACCTACAACAACAACAACAACAACTGACAACAACTACAACTACAACTACAACTACAACTACAACTACAACTACAACAACAACAACTACTACTACTACTACTACTTCTACTACTTGTTGTAGTCACGCGTCTTCTTTCCTCTTCCAGACAGCAACGATGGTAGTGGGCAGCATGGACCAGACCACAACATTTTGTGCAATCGACATAGGGTGATTCTTGGTCAAAACTGGTATACAAAAATATGACAAGCGCTCGCTTCTTATGCCGTTGTGTTATAAATGCCTACATGCAATATTGTTTTTATGATCCGAGGTGTGCAAGCGATCCGACGAAGTCAGATGCACTGTTCGGGTCTGCGTGAACAAAAAGAAGGCCCAGCTGGGTCAGAGTCTCCAGTGTCAGCTTCGATGCCCAAAGTCTGGTGTCCCCAGGTGCACATTCCCTTCTTCCACTTGCAGCGAACTGCTACAACCTTCGTCTCGAGAGCAGAGCGAGAAGCGCAGGCAGCTCTACAGCTTCCACACGTTGCGCTTCATGACGCTTCTGTCGAGGCTAAGCAGGCAGCTGCTGCCAAAGCACGGCCTGCACCGGGCTCATGTGGCACATGCTGTTTTCGGCATCGTCCCCTGGGCAAAGTCCCCATGCGCCCATTGGTTTCTAGGTGCCAATAGTCCGCACAATCTCGGCGAAGTCGAATGCAACGCCCAAGGCAAGCAACGTCTGGGAAGTTACTCTGGACAGCCTGCGA